TTTAAAAAATAATAATTTAAAAATAAATAAAACTTCCATTCTAGAATGTTAAAACTTCTAATATAGAAAAATGTATTAAATTGAAATTATACGAATTCTAAGGAAAATATGATTTTTTTTATTTATTTCGTATTTTTAAATACAGCTTATTGAGTTTGAGTTAGGTTAGGTTAGGTTAAGTTACGCTGTTCGGTTCTTAGGGAGTCTCACATAGAAGGTGCATTGTCTATAGTATTACCAGATACATTATGTGTTACTCTTCATTGTTTTGTCTTCAATTTCAAGAAATTTTGATATTGTCTAGGCCAATTGATGATGGCCGGGCATTCATAGCTACCGTGCTGTGTTGTCCCCATCTCTTCTCTGCATCTTTTGCCTAATTTAGAGGCAACCGATGCTAATGGGCATTACTTTTTAGTTGCTTCACTAGTTCGGTTCGCTATTTTGCAGCCTTTTTTCCTTTCCCAAAGTCAATTAGCCTGACTATTGCCCTAATGAGACTGGTGGGTCCATACCAACGTCCTATATTAATAATGTGAATTTTTTTCTCCGACAATATTTTAATTTTCTCTTTACAATGTGCAGCCACTTCCGACTTTGTATTGCATGAAAGTAAGGCCTTATGGCCGCTTGTCTTTCTAAACAGATACGCACCCTGCTTTTGTGTGAGCCTGCTTTCTGCAGTAGCTCTGCAAATATCTAGGCAGCTTAAATGGCTTTCTTATTTCCGATTGGATGCAGTAATTTGCAGTCTCCACTCGCCCGCCAGTAAATTTATAAGCAGAGCCAGGTCTGCAAACCTCCATCTCCATTCGCATGCCTCTATTGTTTTATAGAAAATTTATTTTTCAATTTGCTCGGAAGTGACTTAGTGCAAACTGTAGGTGTCTCAAGACGCACAGCACAAATTAAAGGAGAAACTCGACCGAAAATTACTTTAGCGGTTGAAAGCCGCCAATTACATTTACTATGTACACACATACATATTTTAATATATTTTGATACCTTGAAATTGTTTAAAAAATTTAGATATTTTCCAGCTATAATTAATTTACTTTTTTTCATATTTAAAAAAAAAAATTAATTAATTAATTTTATTTAATAATTAATTTTCTAACTTAATTGTATTATATTTTTTTCATTTACTTTTTTTTTTGATTTATTAATCATTTAGCAGCACTAACGAGTTGCATATTAAGCAGTGATTTATTGGGTAGCACTTGCCTAAAGTGTACCTCCATACATACATAAGAGTATGTTGTAGCGTGAATGCTGCTGCTGCTGCTGCTGCTGCTGCTGCTGCTACTACTCAAGACAACTGCTGCTTTAGTTGTACGAATAGCTGCTGTTGGAAGCACTGGTCTCTTGGCCAATGAAAAGAGACACTAATTGGATATGGACAGCGTTGACGTTGGGCAAGGTCAGTACAGAGCAACTTGTTTATTAAAATAAAAGGAACTTATATATACATATATGTATGTGTGTATGTTTGTATTTGCATATATCTGTGCTTTTATAATGTATATGTATGTTTGTATGTCCACACAATGGCTGCGAATGTATTGGCATTGATCACTTTTTTCTGCTCTAAATAAAAAGTAGATTCAAAGATCAAATAGTGTCAATTAAAATGTCAACCACGAAAGTGAAATGAATAGCTGTGGGCATGTGCTTTTGCATTACAATATATCTCAATATGTACATATGTACATATAGACATATGTGTGTGTTAAGGCATTCTCTAAAATTCATTCTGATAATCACAGATTATAATTTTAAAATGAATGGAGAAATGTATCAATCAAGCGGCTGCTCTGACTAAGAAGACTGCTGGCCAGGCTGATATTTGAAAATCTTAAAAAAAACTACCGAAAAACTAAAAGTTAAAAATGGTTGGCTGGGTGCGAAAATATCAAATGCTCACGAATTTAAACTTGAGAGCAACTGAAGTAGCCAAAAGTGGGATAAGGTCTAGGTGGAAAATTTTTTTGAGATTCTCCCGCTAGCGCTAAGTCTTATATAATACTTACATATAAATATGTGAGACCTGTCAAAACCGAATATAAATATACTGGAATGTGTGAAAAAAATATCAAATATAGCTTTTCTTTCCGCACTTGAAGCACTGCAAATTTTCTAAGATATTCAATTTGCCTGCACCTTTGCGCTTTGGCTGAAATTTTTACAGGGTTCAAATCGCTCATTTGGTCATATTAGGTCAAGTGAAAAGTTCGTTGGGTTTTTATATTGATTTTTCAAAATATGATAACTTTGTGTACATTTGTTCGATTTAAGTCAAATATGTCACAATTTGTTTGTAAACTTGTTGCTAACGAGATGCCAACTTCATTATACCCCTCTCGTAGAAGGCTGCGTCCTTATTGGCAAAAAACTCGGCGAGTCAATATTCACAGGTCTCTCTTGAGGGCAACTTCTCACCATTAAGCGCGTTCGCCATGGACGGTAAAAGATGGTAATCACTTGGTCCCAGGTCGGGACTATAAGGTGGGTGCATTAGGACCCCTCATTCGTGCTGCTGGAGCTTCTGACGTGTTACCAAAGACGTGTGTGGCCTAGCGTTGTCCTAATGGAATACAATTCAGCCTCTGTTGATCAAAGATGGTCTCTTCTGCTTTCAAAGGGTCCAGTTATTGGCAGTAGAGGGCCGAATTGAGCGTTTGGCCATAGGGGAGCAGCTCATAGTATATGATTTCTGTCAATCCCACCAAACACACAGCAAAACCATCCTGGCCGTCAATCTGGTCTTGGCCACCGTCTGGGCCGCTTCCCCGAGCTTTTAGCCACGACCGTTTGCGCGGAACGGAACCTAGCAATCAACTTTTGTGCTACACGTTCGTTTTCAGTATCGGTCCCATAAACTAAATTATTTTTTCAACAGCTTTGGCTGTTTTTTCGCATTGATCGTAGAAAAATTGTAAAATATAGCGAATTTTCTCTTTGCCGGTGTCCATCTTTGACGAGCGCTCACAAGGTATCAAACAATCTATCGAAAAACTGTCAAAGACAAAGACACGTAACACTAGTACTATGGACAATAATGCCATCTCTTAATCCGCGAACGAACGAACTTTTTACTTTACCTAATATAAGCATTCAAAGTAAGACAAGTCAAGAAATGCCAGCACACCAAGCTCACATTTTTTGTTCTTATTGAAAAATATAGCGATTTAATTTTTTTTACTTAATTTTTTTTTTTATTTTACGAGTATAATCTTGTGTGATCCTAATCTACTTATCATACTTAATTTACTATAACTTTTTTCGTAATATGAAATTCTTGTGGCTACCGATATATCGCATCAGGTTCACCTAGGTCTGACTGAGATCCTTCATGCCACAAAATGTGATACCACAAAAATCTAACCACCAGGCTTCATTATCCTGCCATTTTGATTCTCTAATGAACTTCATTAGATCCATGACTTTGGCGTCGGCTATCCTTGGTAGACCATCAAGCAATAGAGTCCCAAAATTTCGAAACCTAAGAGATGAGTGATCGTTTCCTCCTTCTCTTCCTGCTTGCAGCCTCTGCAGCACTGTCTATGGAGTGAGCCTCTAGTCTTTCCGCGTGACGTCTTCTCAGTGGTCAATCATAACTCCTATTACTTTGGATATTTCCTATCTCTTTAAGGAGTACCTATCTCGTGATCTTCATCTTAACCCATTTCCAGTCCAGCACTAATTTGGAATTTTGTGTAAGCGAATCCAGTGATTTTAATGAAAAAAATGAAGATCTCCTTACTTTAAAGCCTACATAATAGTGGATATCTCCGCCGGGAAAACATTACAATGGTCAGGTAGCCTGAAAGAAAGTTCCATCGGAGGATTCGTTGAAAGGACACCTCCGCAAACTCTCCCCTCAAGCATTGATAAGTTCGTGTATATTTTCAGGCTGTCACTTGGAGTGTGATAATTATCTACCCATTCGTTCCTGCTGCGAATTCGTGTTCTGAAGAAGTTAGCGGATAATAGAAGTGGACCCCATCGATCTTTTTTTTTTTTTTTTTGGGATGACGCCCGAGAAGAGGAAACTCTCATGAGTACTGTTATACCGGCATAACAGTATGCACGACTTGCAACCTCACAGTTGCACCTACGTACTAAATACCTCTCCACTAACTACCACTCTCCCCGCGGAACTATCAATGAAGTATTACTTCGCGGGGCTGGTAAGCGCTATGGCTCTCACTCGTCACTGAATTTTGCATCTTAAATAGCTGTTGAGGCCAAGTCTCCAGTCTATCTTCTTTTATAGCGGGCGATCTGTATAATTTGGTATGAAGTCGTATTTATCCAATATTACCGAGTGCTCCATGGTTGCGTGATTTGACTCTCTAAAACAACGAAGTGCAGTCATTGCTGCCGATTGATATATCACCAGGTACAGTGGCAAGATATGGAGCGTTACATTTAGAGCCCACTTGGTGCTTCTTACTGCTGATACGCACACCTTTGAATCTCATCTATGAAATTAGCATTTATTATAGCTTCAAACCCCTTCCTCTAGAAGCTTTTCTATTTGCGGTCGTCCCACGGATCAAGCCCTCCGAGAAAACATCAGGCCGTACACCACAAACCGAAGGTGGAAGCTCGCCCGAAACTCACTTTGACGCTTATAAAGCGCCAATTACATTCACTCTCTTTCGACCAAAATTCGTAATAAACATTCATTTATTATTAATACCTCATTGATGTTGGCAGTACAAACATACATAAATGACTGCGCAAAATTCATCATTTTTCTGAAAACAGCTGCCTTTAGCTGCAGGCACTTGCACTTGGGCGCCCTTAAAAGTGTCACAGCAGCTTTTTCATACCATTTAAATGAAAGTAGTGGGCAAAGCGAAAAAAGAGAGATAAAATGCAGCAAAAAGCTTGCATTGCAAGCTGCTTGCCAAAAGCCCCAACCACCACCACCACCACCACCACCGCCACCAGCAGCAGCAGCAGCAGGAGTAAAGCCAGCGGTCACTTGCACAACGGCAAGCAGTTTGCATCGAGCGGCGAGCGATGCAAGTTCAGTTCAATTTTTAAAGCGATAAACCGACAGACGGGCTTTTTTATGTAAATATTCTTCTCCATTAAAGTGTTTGTGTTGTGCGCGCAGAATTTCAATAAGCAAATTATTGCTGTTTCAAATAATAAAAAGTAATAAAAAACAAAAAAAAAATTAAATGCAACACGCGTGCGATTTATGACAATCGTTGTGCATGCGCGGCACATATTGAGCATGAAAACTTAGGAGATAAATTTGAATAAGTGCAGAAACAAAGGAAAAACTAAAAAAAAAAATGGAAAAAAACTTGAAAAAATGCATTCTTTATTTTCAGCGTTTTGAATTTTTTTTTCTTTTTTTTTGGAATGCGCCTACCTAAGCGCACGCACATACATACAAATATATATATTTACAAGCATACAATTCGCTTGCATCTAAATGTCTAATAGTCCAACCAGTCAGTTTTCGTACCTCCCAGCCGTACCAACCAACTGGGTGGGAGATTTGTTATGAAAAGTGATGACCAAAGCTTGTGACGGCGAAGTTTTGCTAGCTGCCAGAGTGTTTGCTTACTTTTCCGCCATGAAATTTCAGAATTTATAACTTCGAATCTGAATGTCAATCAGAAATATACGAACTGTTAACTATTATACTATTTGCTACTAACATTCGAATGGCCAGGATGCTAGCTCGACCAGCATCAAATAATTATAAAAAAAATTCTGATTGCGGCAGCCTTCCGGCAGAGAATGAAAAGCTCTCCGAGTGTATTTCTGGCATGAAATAAAATCTCCTCATAGGTAACTCCGTTTGTTGGAAAACATCAAGACGCACAACACAAATCGGAGGAGGGGAACGATCAAAAGTCGCTTGTTTGCCATAGTTAGAGTTATCCGATGCATATTAAAAAAGCATCGTTTTTTTCCATGACTTTTTATCATTTCTAAGGTAGTTTCGTTATGTCTCTTTCAAAGAAACCCTTGTTACTCTTGCAAAAAATTGGAACAATCGATTACTTACTTATTTACTTACTTTACTGGCGTAGACAACGTTTACGCGATTAAAGCCGATTTAACAACATTGCGCCATTCGTTTCTTCCTTTTGTTGTTTGGCGCCAATTGAGAGTACCAAGTACAGCCTGGTCCTTCTCTACTTGGTCTTTCCAACGGAGTGGAGGTCTTCCCCCTCCACTGTTTCCACCGGCGGTCACTGCATAGAACAACAATCGATTATTACATGTCAAATCATTCACGCTAGACAGGAATTATTGATTACCGTCTGAGCAATTGGTGGATGCTTAATAACCTCCCAATCAAGCTCTAGGAGTTTTTAGTGAGCCATTATGGATGACGGTGGTGTGTCGTTGTCCTCACAATTGCTTAGAGCGGGGCGATCGCTTCCTTCACACTTAAAAAAAAAATACTCGAGATACAATTCACTAAAGCCAATTATTGCAAAAATATTGGCTCACTTTTTACTTCACCAGCGCATATTATGCTAGTTTCTACGGCAGCGCCAAATGGTATTAACTTTTAATTTAGATGGCGCTCACATAAGAGACGTTGTAACAGCTGAGTTACTATGTTTTTGGCTGGTTCGGCTATAACAAACGAATGTTCGTCTGCGTGTCTGCGGTTTTGTTAACCATTGGGGAAACCAGTCAAAGGCCCACATTTGTTGCAACAAATTCACAATATCGCCACTTCCACTTCCACTTCCGCATTTCAACGATAGTTGCACCGACTTGCTAGCGTACATATGAATACATATACATATGGACATTTATGTGTGTATGCTTCTCTTTTCAAACCACAAAAACACTGTTACTTCGATAACTCAACTGTTAGCTGTTAAGTGCTTACAACTGTTGCACTGAATTGCTGCTGCTGTTAATGTGGCACGTTTTGTGGTTCGATAATTAGCGAATATCGTTTTGTTACAACATTGCAAGCGATTCATAAAAGAGCGTAAAAAAATCAAAAAAGGTGAAAATTTTGATGGAGTTGGAGGTTTGCACAAATTTTACACTCACAAAGTGATGACCACGAAATCGTTTGATTTTATTTTATTTTTTTTTTGTTGAAAACAGCTGTTTGTAGTGAAAAAATCACTCTCAGCGTAAGTCTTTTTCGAAGGTTGGCTTTGTCATTTCTCTAAATTTTTGTATTCATATTAAAAGAAAGGGATTTGCGAACTAAAAATGTCTCATAATTACAATTACCTTTCATGACCATATCGAATTTATGATATTTGATTTTAGGATAACATATTAATACTCATAACTGGCTTTATGATATTACTTTACCGATTCGATGACTTTCAGTGACAATCTTTATTTGTAAATACGAGCTTGTAATATCGAATCACACGCTTGAAGAAGCTTTTATCACGGATTTTTTACCCCAAACCACATATCTGAACAATTGTATGAGAGCTATATGTTATAGTTCTCCGATGTCAATAATTTTCACCTTCATTTTGTAATCAATCAAATGTGTGCGGAATACCAAATTTCCTGCTCTCAGATTCAAAATCTCAAATTTGAAAAATCGGTTATATATATACATATATGATATATTACCAACTTTGATTTAAATATTTCAAAAACTGAGTGAAAAGTTTGCTTGAAAACAGACGGACGGAGGGACAGGGCAAAATCAACTCAAATCGTCTTACTGACCCTATCGGTATAAATTTGGTCTATATCGTCTATTGCTGGTACTTAAATACCTCGAACCAAAGTACATTTGCCGTTTTATTTACATGAAAGTTGTTATTAATATTTTATGAGCCCGATCTCAGCAGTTTGAATTTTGATTCTATTTTTGTTTTACCAAATCTTTTGTTTGCTAATGACATTTTTGTGTTCCCATAGCAGAGAGTGCGTGTTACTATGGGGGGATGGTAGAACGGCTAGACTAACTTCCAAAACTATATGCAGAAAAAGTGTTCTCGAAATGCGATAACCCATTAGGGCAGGAAATGTCAACCTCGAGTGTATTTCTGACATGAAATAACGAACTTCTCATGAACATCTGTTAGCCGTTCGAAGACGAATTTGAAAAAATCGAAGGTCGTGCGATTTTGTCGAATCAATTATAGTGCGCCAGTCGGCGTCAATTAAAAATACCCCGAGTCAAACCAAATCGCTTATGCACCTTAACTTTCCAACGGAGTAGAGGTATTCCTATTATGCTTATTGCTTTAACCCACGGTTGCTACTTCAAAAACTCTCAAAGCTGGAGTGTTTTTTTCCAATCGGACGACATTGCCTAGCCAAGGCAGGTCTTTATTTGCTGAATTATCTCAATGTCAATAGCGGCCGCGGTAGCCGAATAGTTAGCATTGCTTACTGCCATCCAGAAGGCCGGGTGTCGTGTACTGGTACGACCAACAGGCAAAAATTATAGAAAATTAATTTCAATAAAAAATTAAGTTAATTAAGTTCATTTTTCTTATTACGATTGTCCCTCGACAGGGAATGTCAAGCCCTCCGAAAATATTTTTGACATGACCTAAAGACCTGCTGATAAAAAATCATCAGCCGCTCGGAGGTGGCGCAGTATAAATTGTAGGTCCCTCTACTTGTTGGAAAAACATCATGACCCAAATTGGAGGAGAAGCTCGGCTGAAAATCTCCTGAACAAAGCACCAAATATGTATATATATGTCAATGTTACTACAAGTATATAACTTGTATTATTCAGTCAGCTCAGCCAATGTGCAATTGATCTAAGTCTTCGAAAAAATTTTCTCTCGAAAACACCCCTACCTGCTCGTCATCGAAATGGCACGTAGAGGGGTTTCCTGATCTTGTCAGAACTTTTGGTGTTGCATTAAGATCAACGATGGAAATGTCTGTGTCAATCGTTTTTTCACGGGTCATCTCAATATTGGCACGATTTGAATATCTGGACAGCCCATCCTGCACAACATACGTTCGATAAGACCTTATGCGTGATATTGACGTTTTTCAACTAACGTGCAGATTTCAACAAACACTCATTTGAACTAATTTAGCAATATCTATTCTTCATGGCATTCTACCGATTCTTCAATTAACTGGCTTTCTGTGTCCTTAGGTGAGGATTAACGTACATTGTCGTCGGTAGAAACACACGGATGTTTTCGACAGTTGCTCAAATTCAATTTTTAGCCATTATCCTTGGCTGTTACCTGATTGCGTTCCACAAATATCCCAATACAGACTCCGTTAGCTAGAATTCTATGGGGTTGAACTTAATTCCGATTCCGATAGAACTTTAATTGACTCAATTAAATTGTTCATGTGAACACATTTTCAGCCGCTTGAGTTGCAATTTGATTTTCTTCTACTACCAGAAAGTTTTACTGCTCTCATAGCAAGAGTAGAACTTAATATAAAATTAAAACTCTTTTCTAACCTTTTTTCACAGCAAATTACTATTGAACAATTAACGTGTCGCAATCCCAAATAGCTGCCACAGCATTATCTTGCAACACATCTGGGTATGGCTCTAACATGTTTGTGTAGACAGTTCCAAACAGCGGGAAGTGAAACGCCGCCACACCGCACTTTGACAGGTTTTTTGCGAGTCTAGCCATTCTTTGTTGTTATTTGCCGTCGTGTCCCCAAGTTGGAACGCATGAAATCAGACACATATTTAAAGCGGCAGTTGTTCGCGCAAATCCCAGTCCTAACCATTTACAATCTGTGTTAGTATTACTTTTTTCCTTCAATCTTGAGCGCGTCTGTTGCATTAGAGTGCAATCATGCTGGTTGCACAAAATTTGCAATGCAACATGCAATAATTGTTGTCGGGCTTGCCAGACCTGTTTCCCTACATACTCGTACATAACAGTTTTGTTTTCTATGTTATGAGTAAGTTCTTCGCTCATCGGGCAGTCTGTTTGTGCAAATGAAAGTGAATGTGCTTTTGCCGGTTGGTAATACATTCAGATATACATACGTGTATGTATATATGTAAACAAGCATTGCTAACAGAAGTCTGCGTTGCTTATATTTGTTTGTGGATGTGTATGTACATATGTATTTAAATGTATTTATGTGTTTGCATGTTTACAAAGGTAAATTACGTTTAGACGAAGCCAAATAAGCGTTAATCACGTGTGGTACCCACATTTTGGTTGACCATATTTTACTATATGGATGTGCGCTGAGGGTACTAAGGAGAGAAAAAATTTTAGAATTTTTACAAAAATAAAGAAAACTAAATATGATTGAACGTGAAGTTATACAGTAAGTAAAATATTTATTTTATAGCCATTTTTATGTAGTTTATTCATAATAAAGTGTGTCAGACTGAAGTAAATTTTGTCACAAAAAAAAAGAAAATTTAATATATTAAAACATTTTTTTATACGTTTATTTTTTGTATTTTATATCATTATTTTATTTTTTAATTTCACTTAATATGATTTTACTTTATTTTGGTTTATTTTATTTCATTTCAACCTATATTATTTTATTTTATTTATCTTATTTCATTTTAATTTATAATATTTTATTTGATATCAATTATTTTATTTCCCATTAAATTATTTTCCTTATTTTATTTAACTTCATTTACTTTATTTTAATTCAATTTTTTTATTTTAATTCTTATTACTTGAAATTTTTAATTTTTTTATTTTCTGTTAATTATATTTTATTTTTTTTTTGTTTTATTTAAAATATATTTTACATTTTACTTTGGCTTAATTTATATTATTTAATTTTTTTTATTAGTAGGCTCATTCGCTGTAGCACTAAATCCGATTGCATGGAGTGAGACATGAATTAACCGCTTAAAGATGTCGCGTATTTTATTTTATTTTATATTATTATTTTTTATTTTATTTTATTTTACTTTACTTTTGGTTAATTATAGTTTTTTTTCGTTTTAGATTATTTTTATTTTATTGTATTTTTAATTTTTATTTTTTGTTTTTATTTCTTTTATTTTTTATTCTTATTTTTGATATTATGCTATTATATTTTATTTTATTACCTTATATTTTATTTTTATTTGATTTAATAATATATTTTTTATTTATATCATTTTTTTTTTAATTTATTTTATTTTACTTTACTTTTTTTAATTTTATGTTATTTTTTTTATTTTTTATTTTTTTTTATAGTACTTATGTTATGTTTGTTTCGGAGAACAGTAACGTTTTCATAATAATTTATAAACTTTATACCCGAACATCAAAAATTTATTAAATTTACAATATACATGTACCTATGCATAAGCAAGATATAAAAATAACAACTATATACAGTAGAAACCAAATATCGAATGATGACATACATATTTTCTGCTTTGTTCAATTCTATTTCTTAGCTTTGTTTTTATGCTTAATCCCCAATCATAGCAAATATTTGCGTGTTATTGCATATACCTTAGCACATTTGTGTAGACCAGCATAAAGTACTACTATGCAATTATGATAAGAAGAATGGTATTTAACAAGGTATAAGATTGCACTATAAGTAGTCTTTAGTACTAGTCGTAGTATTTTTTTCATTTTATATTGTTTTATTTTGCTTTCTTTTATTCTATCTCATTTAATTTAATTTATTTTTTCTTTCTTTTTATATTAGTTTATTTTTTTATGAAATTTAATTATGTTTTATTCCCCCCCCCCCGAGTGTATTTATGATATGAAATAAAAGCCCCTCATAAAATAAAACCATCAGCCGTTCGGAGGCGGCTTAGTATAAACTGTAGGTCCCTCCATTTGTTGGAAAAACATCAAAACACAAAAGCACAAATTGGCGGAGGAGCTCGGACGTAAATCGCTTTCGAGGTTACAAAACGCCAATTATACTATACCTATACATACATACAAAACACTCGATTATGCACTGTCAAACAGCAGCGAACTACACAAATACACTATATTGACATACGTGCAAATGTACTACTTATAAAATTTGTCCTAAAAAGCCATGCTTGAACTTGAGAGTGTTATCTTTTAACTTATATATGTTTTTATTTTTAATTTTAGTTTTCTTTTTACTAAACACTTAACATACTTTCGATTTTCACGCTAATTGGCTTCACTGAGTTTGACATAATACTTATTTTCCACAAGTTTTGCATACAAATTCACTAATTAAAGCGAAAAATTAATGCATTTGTAAACAAAATGCAACACAATATATTATTTACCACAGCAGTTAAAAATGTAATTAATCATTGTACATTTGGCATAAAAATTATGTTATTAGGTTAATTCAATTTGCAACAATTATGCACATAAAATTTGTAATCAAATAAAATAAAAACGTACGCAATCTAAATATTCGTCATAAAAGCCAAATTGCATTTGTTGCAACATAATTTGCAAATGGATAACTTTTTTCCTTCCATTTCCTCGCGCAATTCATTATGACGTTGTATTTGTTTTTATGGCGCGAATTATTTACCGCCCTCTTGTTGGCAACAAATTCCAGACGTGCAGTGGCGTTTGGGTATTTGTAGGTTTGTTTATGGTGAATACGCGTATTATGAATACGGCCAGTAGTAGTAGCATGACCAACTCCGCCGGCTCATTATAATTGCCGGCAATTGCTAGAAACGTATATTTCAATGTTGTTTATGAACTTTATGCGCTGTTTATTTTTTGTATGAGTATTTGCCTTGCTTTGGTGGGTTTAGTATTTGCTTTTGGTAAGAACTTCAGCTTTAAGTAAATCTATACTAGAGAAATAGTAATGCAAAGTATGCGTGTGTAATTTATGCCTGTAAAATTGACAGAATCCCAAGAATTTGATTTTCACGTTATTTCCGTTAATCGTTATGAATGAGATGCACAAGCAGCAACTCGTTGATCTGCCATTGCAACGATGACTTTCATAATCAGCTCAACGATTAATATTTTACAATCGATATTTACAAAAAATTACAGGTTGCAAAAGAATAAAAGTATGTTAATTTATTTAAAATAATATTTTTTTCTTAGTTTTTTTATATTATTATTATTATTATTATTATTATTATTATTATTATTATTATTATTATTATTATTATTATTATTATTGTTGTTGTTATTATTATTATTATTATTATTATTATTATAATTATTGTTGTTGTTATTATTATATTGACATAATATCGTGCAACAAGGCGTATGAGAAACTTTGTTGTAAATGCACTCGGTACAAAATGTGACCGGAAACTGAAAAATTAGTAGGTAACACATATTTTGAAAATAATAAAAATATAAAAAATCCCTTTTTATTTCATCGGCTTATTTACTTTTACTCTTTTTCAGCACAAACAAAGTATCAAAACGCATCATGGACGTTGTACAGGATCTGTCCGAGTTCTTTGTGGTATTTGTTAAAATACTTATAGAATTACTGCAACGATTTTTCGAAAAGATGATGACCAAAAAATTTAAAGATATCAGCGGCGAAATTATTTTGGTGAGCTCTTCTTTACTTTGAACACTTTATTTAATTTTTTTTTTCTATTTTAACCGTCATTACCACTACAATTTTTTTTATTATTATTAAAAATGTTTACAGATAACAGGCGCCGGACATGGCATTGGGCGTGAATTGGCCTTACATTATACTGCTTGGGGCAGTGTTGTTGTTTGTGTTGATATCAATGAGAAGAACAATGAGGAGACTTTGAAGAAAGCTAAGCGTCTTATGCAAAATTCCGTTTATGCTTATACGTATGTAGTGAAAAACCATTGATAGCAAAACTTATCTTTATATGCAGTACCAGTGTTAATGGTCAACTTCCCATTTTTATCTTTTTCTCTTTCTACAGCTGCGACGTTTCAGATCGCGAGGCTGTTTTGCAGCTTGCCGCCAAAGTAGAGGCTGAAGTTGGGCGCGTATCTGTGCTGGTAAACAATGTCGGTATCATGCCCACACATCCGTTGGAGCAACATACGCCAGAGGAGATAAGACGCGTATTCGATATAAATGTTTTATCACATTTCTGGACACTTGAAGCATTTTTGCCGCAAATGAAGCAACAGTATCGGGGACATATAATATGTATTTCTTCAATAGCCGGCGTGGTGGGGCTGACCAATTTGGTACCATATTGTGCTACAAAGTTCGCTGTACGCGGTATGATGGAGGCGCTGCATCAAGAATTACGCGATGGACCGTACAAAGATTTTGTAAATTTTGATAATGCGTGTTGAAGTAGTTATATGTTAAAAAATGTATTTATTTTCAGATCAAACTCACTCTTATTTACCCTTATATGACAAATACTGGTCTCTGCAAACGACCGAAAGTCAAGTTTCCTTCAATGCTCGGTCTTCTAGATCCTAAGGAGGTTGCTAAGAAAATTGTTGAAGCGCATCGCGCCAATGTCACCGAGACTACAATACCCAGCAGTCTGTTGCATATCAACAATTGGTGCCGTTTATTACCCATACGTTGTAGCCTGTTGTTGAAGGATTATATAGACAGTGGTGTAGAGTCAGATTTGTGAGAGCGCGTGATCTATATAATTGTTTATTGTTTCTAAGAAATTTGATATGTTTCCGAATTCGGTTTGGTTTTTACATTATATTATTTGTTAATTGGGGAAGAACTTTTGAAAGAGATTAATTTTTTATGAATAATAAATAACAATAAAATATATTACACCTTTTTACTTATTTTTTATTATATAACGGATACTTTACATAAATATTTAACACCATAATAAACATGTTTGGGAAAGATTTTTGGATTAACAGGCCTATTCTGTCGAGGTAACAAAATTTAATTTGGTTATAAAAATTACCATTCAGTAAATTTTGTTACCATTTCGTATTCTGAGCTCACTGTTACCCTGTAAATTTTGTTACCAGCGAAATAGGAGGTAACAAAAATATCTGCTGTTTGATTTTGTATTGTAAGTGTGAGAAAAAATAAAAACCAAAATGGGAAGGCATATTTTAGGCCTGGAATTCATTGAAGGAAAAGAAAAAATTGTAAAAAGGCGTAGGCTAAGAAGTTGTGAGAAAAAATTACCCTTTTATTTTGGAATATAGCGTTTTCATTCAGCTCTTTTCTGTCGTTTAGGCATATTTTCCATAATTAGGTTCAAATTTTTATGATTTAATAAACAAATTAATAAAACTTTTTAATTTTTTTGTGCACCGTCTTCCATTTCGATGTGGATATTTTTCTTTTTACTTTATCAACTGGAAAATGTAATTTGACATGGACGAAAAAAGCTGTGCTGCCAAAGCCACAGTTATTTCAAACATTGTAACCAGTTCACTAGGTTACCAAATTCAATTTCGGGTGTTAAAGAAAAGTAACAAAATTTACTTTACCGGTAACAGTGAGAATAGGCATGTAAGTGTATTAATTCCAAGGAAAAACTTAGAAAGGTATTTTATAATATTCGCTGACCGTAATTTACTGGATCCTTTAAATCTCGCTGCAGGGGTATCTCATATCGGACCGGAGTAACTTCTAAGGATTAGAAGGGCAAGCTTATTGCGAAGGTAGTCTGCACTCGGTGGGGAATGTCAAATATATCCTAAAAACCCACCAGACGAACGAAGACACATGTGGCTAATCAAAAACACAAAATGACAAAAATGTGTATTTAGAAAAAAATAATATTTTCGGGATTATTAATAATTTTTATTATTTCCTTTCATATGAGTTACCCTGCTTTAAAAAATGAATAAATAAACACTGAAAATACCAACAGCTGTGAAAAAAAAAACAAAAAAGTTAAAACGTCATTGTTTAATAAATTTGTGTACATTTTGAGTGTTACCTGGTTATTTACTAATTGGGAAATAAGTTAAATATTTGTGTCTATATTTATGCTTTGCATATTCGAAAATGTCATGCGAAGTCAAAACATTTGGCCAAATCCGTGATTTTAACAAAGTGCAGGAATACTTCGGTTTGGGTCATGGTAGGAACGTCACAATGGATTCCCCCACTAATCCATCAAAAAAATATATAGAAAAGAAGAGCCCAATAAAAAATCAAAATTGCATGACCTAGTCATATTTTTCTAATTCTTCATTTAAAAACATTTTCAGATGAAAACTGGTTAAAAGCTGTAAACTATGCCATTTCACCAACGGGTGAGCTCATCGCTTTTGGGCAGGGTGAAAAATTGGCATTGCTCTCATCCCAGTGGGATAATAAAAGTCAAGTTAGTACTTATGTTCTCAGTTGGTGTGGTGAACTGGATGATCCCAACCAAATTATCACAGCCTTACTTTGTCTGCCAATTTATGGCAAAGGTGTTAGCGCTGGCGCTGAGTGGACTTGTATAGCGATTGGTCTTAACTCAGGCATGGTATTATTTTACACCGACGCTGGCATCAAAATCTTTTCCCAATGGTAAGCAATTTTATTACTTTCTCTTTCAATTTAATTTATATGCGATTGCATTGCAGTTATCATGAAGATCCAGTGCTGTATATTAAAGCTTATAGTCCACCACGACATTCCGAAGCCGATTCATTTATGTACATAACTTACGATGAATGCATGTGCATTATTAAGGGTGCTGAATTGTTTCCATTGCTAATAAATTCACGCATTAATTTCAATCGCACATTTGGTCGCAATGCGGCAAGTGATACGGCAGGCCTACCAGCCGCTGATTTATTGAAGTATCAAAAATTTATGTTTTCTGGCAAAAATGGTGGTATAATTAACGATGCTGCACTAACCGGACCGCGTTCAATTACTGCCTATGATCATATCATTGAACAGGCTACTGGTATAGGATACTATGCTAAAGTCAATACTACGCCTAGACAACATTCAATGGTTGTGGGTGTAGGAGCTGAGCCATATATCGGTTTTTATTATGCCGAGGAAGGATATCGTACAACATCATTAGGTGAAGTTGCTAAGGGTGTCATAGACATGACCTATCGAAGTGTCTGGGGCAAACTATTCGGTCAACCTGAGAGGCAGGAGGAACCGGCTCCTAATCCGTCGAAGGAATCAAAGATGCGTACCCGTTGCCAATTTCATGATGGAAAGCGTGATGGCTACACTATTGTGCTTTCTCCGAATGGCAAACTTGCGGTTGTAACCGATAATTTAGATCGTGTGGTACTAGTCGATGTTCAACGTGGCATTTTGCTGCGTGTATGGAAGGGATATCGTGATGCTCAATGCGCATTTGTACCAATAAAAGAGCGTTCCCTAAAGGGCATAAAAACCGAACATCGCAAAGCGCTTTTCCTTATTATCTACGCACCGCGCTTAGGTTGTTTAGAGATTTGGGCTTTGCAAAATGGACCAAAAGTAGCAGCCTTCACGGTTACCAAAAGTGGTCAATTGGCATACAATACACACGGGTTAATGGGTGAGTAGTTGACTAGTAGTTGGTAAAATTTGGAAAAAACAAAAACTTTGTATTCTTATTTAGGTGTCACGCCTGGTGTGAAAGTGAAGTCATCGACACCAAACTATTGCCTTTTCCTAGACCCAAGCGATGACAGTGTTAAAGAGATACAAATACCCTTTCATTTTGCTTTGAGTGAAAGCAATTCGAAAACTTCACGTGACGTACATTTGTTTAGACGGCTTAAGACTCTTCTGCGCGATTTGGATAATACTGCCAATATTGATGAAATTGTAAAATTAGCTGCTGATTTCCAGACAATTGAAGTGCGCCAGCAATGTTTAGATATGTTAAAAAAAAATAAGCAATTGAGACCGAAAATGTTTCAAAAAATCGTGACTGCCTTTGCCGATTCCTTACATTCCGAAGCTGCAGCAGAGGAAAACCAGGACAATGAAGAGTGTGAACATTTCAAGATTATAATTGACAATTACAAACGCTTAGCCGAATTTTATGTGACCATAAAAGAACCCATTGAAGCAGAATTCGATGATTACTTAGAATTGGATGACTGTGATTTGGTGACAATTAATCAGATTGTATTGTTGCTTGGCGATAAACATGTACTGCCAAACCCTGATAGCAGCGAACCAATTGCGCAGCACAGCGGGAAAGTGACGTTCCAAGAGCGCTGTCAAGAAGATGGCGATTTTGTAGATTTTCTTGCTATTTTCCAAATGGACATTGAAAATAGTTTGCCTTTACTACGTGAAAAAAGTGATAGTTTTGGTTATATTAGTGGGCAGCTATTAAAAAACTTTTTTGAATACGGTCTGTGTTTCGAAGAATTGAAGTTAGCTATTACGAAGTCAAAAATACCTGCAGATGACATGATGGTATTGGCGCTACACTTTTGGATGGATAGACCTTTTAGATATCAGAACTGGTAAAACAAAAAGGAAAAATTTGAATATCTTTGTAATTTCTGCACAACTTTTCTTTTTTCTCCTTTTTGAAGTGATGAAGTAATTGCGGATATGTCGCGTTTGGCAGCTATGATAAGGGCGATATGTGAATTAGCAGGAGATCGGGTCTGCGACTATGCCTACAACGCAATTTCTCAGTGGTGGCAAGATATACGTGAAATAATTTTGGAAAGTCCTAAATCGCTTGGCTTGCTAGCGGCTATCGTGTGCAAGATAGTGGCCTCTAAATTGCGCCGGGAATACAGAGAGGTAGTTTGGAAACCTTAAAAATATATTATATATATGCATATACATTTTTTTCATTTCAAATAACTTTGCATACTTTTAAGGGCTCGTGTGATGAAGGCTCACAAACAGAGGATGAAGAAAAGTGGGAACAGATATCGCATGATCAAGCACAATGGGGTTTGTTAATCGGCAAGTTGGAAGATATTTCTATACTTGGCGCTACTGTGGAGTACGTCTAGAGGCATTAATTTTTTTCTGTTATAAACAATTTTACACCTCTTCCAGGTATCCAATTCAAAGTGCTGAACCCGTTATGCCCGAACTACCTTATAAACCGCCAGATTGTAGCCTAAAATTTATTGTCAATGGAGGCAAAGGTATTGTTACGGATCTCGCCGCTCAATGGTTAATCAATTCACGCATCCATCCTTCAAAAATTGCTGCAGTAGATTTAATAGTAGATGAAAACAGTGCCCAAGAGTGTTTTGAGACGCCAGCGAAGAAGGCAGACGTCGTTGAAACTGCAGACACAGATGAGCAACAAGTCATAGCTGACAAGAAAGAAGAACAAAAGTCCGCTGAAGACCCTGTGCTGAAAAAATTAAAACTGCTCCGTGAACATTTTCCATTCAGTTTAGAAACCGGCATGCTGCTTAGCACGATGTCATGGCAATATATGGTGCATTGGAGCAAAAACCTGCCACATTTGGAGTATATGCGTGCTTCACTCACATGTATGTCTCAATTCAAACCAGAAGATTATGCCCTAAAGCATGGTATTTGCTGTATGCTCTGGAATGCTACATTAAAGTACCCCCTACAATCCACCATGAAACTAATACATAAGGCAGGTCGTTTACCGAAGGATAAAATGTGTCAGCAGGATATTGAAATGTCGTCATCATCGGTACCCAACTTTCTGGAATTATGTTTAGAATTTTTAGAACATTTCACTACATCGTTAGACCACAATAGTCGTGAGTTGAAGTTCGAGGAATCGTTAACGGAAGGTCCGCTGCCCTTACAGTACCTTGCTTTGCAACAGCATAACGCTATTGAAGAATTACTGCAACTGCACCACGAGCTCTGTGCTGTATTGCATTTGATTGCAGCATTGCAGTTGAAAATGCCCAAACCAATTACAAACGTTTTCGATGGCATGGCAAATAAGACATTCTTCAGTGATATTAACAAAGAATTGTTGTATGAACTACCAGAGGCAGATTTAGTATTGCAACAGCAGCGTGAGCATTTCCTATGCAAAGCTATAAGTGCCTCAATGGACCTGATACGGGAAGACTTTGAACAGTTGTACATAGCAGAGCACATGGAGTTTATGGATAAGATAATGGCTTTGGCGGAGCGTTGGAAATTGAGGAAAATCGGGCTTATTCGCCAACAAGTAAGCTATATAAAATGTTAATTACATTAAAATAAATATATGAATTTTTTGTTTGCTTTTAGGCAGTGGAAATGTACGCTCATGGTTACGATGAGCACGGTGAAGTGCTCCTGAAACAATTGGTCGACGATGAACATGTTGCGCGCTTGCTACTAGAGATCGCTGGTAGACGTTTGAATTTAATTGCGGACAGCTCACGCGATGCCTATATGAATATTGCTTCAGTAGGTCAACAACTTCTTCATTATCTGGATAGGCTGGTAAATAAAATATTATCTTATATTTCCCCAATGTGGCAAGTTATTTATTTTTCTAAATATTCTCTTTCAAACTAACAGCGTGAAACACATAGCGGAGGCATTCAAATATCTGAGTTCGAAGTGAACCCAGGAAGTTTAGTTGCTTTATCAAAACTAATAACACATTGCTTTGAAATACTCTCCCAAAGAGAGCCAACGAAATATCTACATCTTGCAGGACAGATGTTCGATGCGGTTTCTATATTGCAAGACTAGTTAGCTATTTAATAACCTTATAAATTATGCACAATTATGTTTCGAGCATTAGCTTCTAAGATATATACGAAATGTTGAACGATTTGTAATTAGTTAAATTTTTTAATTATATAAAGTAAATAATAAAAAATGTGTATACAACCATCATTGCTTATAGTGTGCGTTTTTTTCAAAATTTTAGTTCAAACGTTCATGTACATTTAAGCATCTCTTTTCTTTTGTCCTGGTCGCTCCTTCTTGTTCGGATCATAGAATTCCATGTAGTCTTCATTGCTTATTTTTCGTATTGCCGGCGGTGTAGGTGGTCGTTCAATGTCATCTGCTTCGTGTATTTTCAAATGTGTAAAAACCGGTATGTATGAGAGTGATGTATCCAAATCGATTCGTTGCTCGGTAGCACTTTTTCCAGGCAAAGCAAAATATTTGCCAAGTATGGGCTCTTTAAGCGGTTTGCCATACATGCGTGCAGTTGCCTCTGCTTCGACAGCTTCTTCGTCATCAGCTGTTTTTGGATCATAGTGTACAGGTCTTTTCTCCTCCTGCACGCCAGTTATGACCTGTGGGTGGTTAAATTTTTAATATAAAAATAATGCTCTTGTTCTTTGTCGAATCAGACTGTCTTCTACGTGCATATGAAAGTACAAATACACACAAATGTCATACAATAGAGTTAAATTTAATTTCTAAGTTTATTTATTTTAGTCCTTTTTTCCTTCCTCCATATTCTCGTTTCCGTTTCCTCAAATAGCACAGAATTAAAAATAGTAAAATACACCATTGGTAAGTGGCACCACCCTGTACTTATTAAAACTTCCGTACAGGAAGTAGCAAATAGCGAAAACCGCATCCCTGTGTATGTGTCAGATACTGTACGCGATCGCCATTTTATAAAACTACAAATCCGCAATTTTCAATATGCATATTCAAATTAGAATATATATTTATTGTGAAAAAGTGAAGGTGGTTAAATTAGGAAATGTGAAAGTCAGAGTTTTAAATTATAGAAACGATTCGCGTTATAGTTATATAACTACGTATGTATAAGTGTTAACGAATAAGTTAATAAACAATTTTTGTGAAAGTTGCTTGGTTGTGATATGTCTAAAAGAAATACAAACATATCTATTTGATAATGCACTATTTATGAAATCAAAAATGGTTCCCTAAGTCATAACCGACACAAAAATTAGTGCGAATTCAAATTAGTAGGAGTTAGTGTTAATGGATCCCAGTGAAGTGTGATAGCATCAAATTTAGATTCAGCTCGGAAAAAGTACATATAGCTTAAAGGAAATGCGCAGGAAAGAAACTAATATCAGTAAGTTTACAAATTCTTGATTATAACTTTTAAAAAAAATTTAATTACCTTCATTGTTGTGGAACTAGCCACCTTCTTAATATCAGGCGGCAAACGATAACGATGATCTTCTTCCACTGTCTCAAATGGTGACAATTTCAGCCACGGCAAAGGTGTACCCAAGGTGCCAAGATAGCGACCGCCTAATGACCAAAGGCGGCAGGAGCAATCGTGACTACCACTTTGTAACAAGCAAACAAATACATATACCGATTTTGAGGATAATTCAATATACAAGACTTACGTTAATAAAATTTTCGGCGTATTTATGTATACTATCGAATTCACCGCTTTAATGTGCGCCTTGTATGAACTTAACAGCATTGGCTCCGGCTGATGTCTAACTACACGTTTCGAGCGTGTTAAAAACCGTTCCCTGCGCATAAATATGAACTGCAAACGTAGCAAAGGCATACAAACATGTTGTTTTTCCTGCGCCGGTATACTATGATAATAGTGCAAAAATGAAGAAGAAATAACAGGAAATTACTTTGCAAGTATAATGAGTATCTTATTTGGTATGTGGGTGCTGCAACAGGTAGAAGTTGTTGATGTAGGCAAGAATGTTATATGTGGCATGCCAAATGCCACATGCGGCACGCCATATTGCAATTGCCCAATCAAAAACCACAAAAGTCGTTAAAACGTCAACAGTTGTTTACAAATGTCTTACATTTTGACATGATTGTATAAAATATTTCTTCAGATATGTACGTACATACATTTATACATACATATGTAAATATGTGCTAAGTTATTAATGTGCAAATTCGAATATTACATTTATTTCACTGGTACACCCATCCGCCATTTACAAAATTCCTTCAGAGTTTTACCAACTTAGCTTAGTTAAACTAAACACGCAAGACATACTTTACCCAATGATATACAAAATATACTTATAAAAGTAATGCTTATTGAAGTTTGTATGTTTTAATGGTATTGCGTTATGTTTTCTTTTTAACTCCCACGAAAGTTACTTTTCGAAGTTACATAAGGGAAAAAGTAATTTTATTTTATGTACTGTGCTGGTTAAAGTAAATAAGAAAAATTTAATTGTTATAAATAGGTCAATGGAAATGTGGTGTGGAAATAAATGATTGTTGTGTGCAAAAATATTACATAATCAATGAAATATCATAGCAAAATATGTATATATTTTTGTGAAAAATTCAAAATGTTTCTTCAACGGTTTTGTTGCTCAAATAATATTTGAGTAGATATGAAATACAAAAAATAAGAGAGTCTATAGGTAAGAGATTCACACCACTTACCAGTAATTGGCAACATGCCAAATCTTTATATAACCGAACGCCGTACCCGTAAACAGATAACGGTTCTTTCGATCAGTCGCCATGGTCAAAACACAATCGCCAGTACGATGAGTTGAGAGAAACTCATTAAGATAGCCGCCACGTTGATGATGTGAATACACCTGAATAATGCCGGTGTCGAGTGCGACAAAGATGCTGCCTTCAGAGATACATATACATATGTATGTAATTATTTGCAAAAATTAACGAAGAGCAGAAAATTTTCAAACTCAACCCACCATGTTCCTTTGTCATTGGTCTCGTCTGTAGAAAAAGCACCGCCTGTACAGATACAGGCCGTGTAGAGCGCAACGACAGCGCATAAGCCAAATCATCACGCAAATCAGCATCGGAGAATGTGTGCTCGAATGAGGTGGGCTTCTTATTCATTTGTGTCTCCATCCGAAGTATGCCCTCCGAAATAGATTTGCGCACAAAACGTGAAATGCTGAGATGTTGTGAAACACGTCGTCCTGTAGCGTTTTCATCGGAGTCTCTGTGTTTAAGCTGAAGTTTGGAAAAAAAATCTTGTATGTATGTAGTATGTTTCAAAGAATACTACTTATTTTTATCACCTCAATAAAACGTGTAGGATCTGCTACGCTATATCTTCGGTATGGTTGACCAGTTTCTAATTTCCAAAAGATCAATTCGCCAGAGTAGGTCGCCGTGACAACACCTTCGCCCAACTTTACATCGGCACAAGTGATGTCGTCATTATGGAATTTCGTCCATTTCTTGGGGTCGCCATACTCGCGACCCTCAACATCATTGAATTCGGTGACTTGCTGATCCCAACCAACTGCCAGAATGCTATCAATATGAAGTTTTGCGAAGTTTTATTAAAGTTTTTGTGAAATAAATGATTCTAAATATTACTCCATGAATGCTATACAATTTACGAGTGACTAGTGACTGAAGACCACGTCAAATGAGTTCTCAAATATAATTATCAATATCTTACCACTGGACTCAATGGGTTATCTAACGACAACTCAGCGTAATCCCAAAAACACCTAAAAGGTCCATGGACACTGAATTGAAACTCCGGTCGTCAGTATCGAGATATATGTATATGTGTGGTTCGTAACTCGATGGAATAGTTGTCGAAGGCATTTTCTCCAGAAGCTTACCCTTTGAGATCTCTTTCGGGCTATCCGATCATAACTGCGGAAATCTCAGCCATTATGGAGGCAGAAAAATACATTGCAGCCGAACTCATGAGCAAGGCTATAATTATTTTTAGCGATAATCGAATAAGTCGCCTAGAGTCGCTTACATTAAACCCAAAAATAATGCTAGACTATCGCCGATCTCCACAAGGGATGGTCAAATGCATTAAACTGACTTTCAACATCAAGGGGAATTGTATAACAGACAATCTTGCCAGGCATGACACGACCAAGCACATTCTTCTTAACAAAGTACTTATTAGCTGATCAAATCAAGAGCAAATCACCTTACAAAATGTCTAGACAAACTTGATCGAAATTGGATCAGAATGGGAGATCTCTAAGGTTATGGTAGGTCACTGTTTGACAAGAGCAAAGCTGAGAATTGCTTTGAGGAGCTGTTTTTCAAGCTGCAAGAATCGAGTAGGAGGAAGAAAGCCTCACTGGCTAGAGACTCAAGAATTTACCCGTTGTCGTAAGAGGATATAAAAATACAATGGTTACAGATACAGTTGGGCCCTTGTACTGGAACGACCGGGATTTTTTCCTGCCAAAGACTGTAACTCCCGTTTTAACCCCCGAAAGGCGATTCAGAATAATATTTTTGCAGTTTATACAACAAAAAACACCAAAAATAGTAGGAGGAAGAAATGAATGTCTAATCTTTTATCAACTGCCCTGCAGACATAGACAGAGCTAAGCTCCGATATCTATTTTATGCATTGTTCGAAAATTTGACTAAGATACAAAGATCAAACTAAGTTATTTAATGAATTTATATAGAGTCTGATGTGAACCTCATTATTAGCGAGCCAAACATTATTCTACCTACCGCTCAACGACCCAAATCACAGCTGTGACCTCATGTTCCGGCATTATGCTCATATTACGCATACACACCGCATTATTGTAATTCCATATTTTTAAGGAACCATCTCGGGCGCCAGTCAAAAGAAATTGCTCGAGTGGATCAAAACATGCTGCTGTAATTTCGATATCAATTGTTTCACCATATTCCATTTTTGTATGACAACTTTTCATAATAATCTTGCGACGACCCGTCCATGGATCCCACACTATTATATAGCTATCCAAGCCACAAGTGACCACATTGCGGAATAGCCCATTGTAGAGTACGACCGAGACGGGCGCTGCATGGGTGTTGCCGTCGGTAAGGTCGACACGAATACGCGCGCAACACTTTATACTGATCAACTTACGACCGCCAACAAGTAGATCGCGCGATAATGGATGATACATATAACACAAGTCCGTTTCGGATGATAAAATACGCACCAAATCGCCAAAAGTCTGTAACAAAGTATACTCGGTCATGTGCCAGATCTTAATGATTTTATGATAGTCGACGCTGTAAATTTTCTTCTCCTCCGCTTGCACGAAGATGTACACAACACCGCCATTGTGCCCAGTTAAAATACCAGAAGGTTTGCTTGAGATATATACATCCCAGACACGTACAAAAGTGTCGGGTCCGCCAGTCACGACAATGTTGTTTTTCTCAGAAACAAAAAAACACGAAACACCCTGTATGTTTGCAGAAGATATCGTAAATAAATAAGTGGTAACGATAATAAAAAGGATTAAACAAACCATTGGTATGCGGAAGTAGGTTTTATCCTCGCCCGAAGCAATGATCAGGCCCGGGCAGCGAGCACGATATTTTTTTGCATTCCGATATTCAGCAGCCACGAAGAGGGAGTTCATACGTATCGAATAGTAGACATGCTGTATTAACTCGCTATGAATATTTGGATATTCGCGCACACTCATCAAAGGAAGTTTGCCCTTAATGTAATAATGAAGTTTTCCACTATAAAAAAAAATTAGTTTAAATAACGCTAAACAAAATCTCACCTTCAGCACATCGGTCCAAAAGAGCTCTACCAGAGCTGCGCCTGGTTTACTCTGAAAGGGACCCCGCAGAAATGGCGTGAATTCCAAAATACGCACGTTTCCACCATAATCACCGAGTACCAACTTGGAGTTCGTTTTGCCTTTCGGATGGAAGCTGTACGACATGCTACAGACCGCGAATGGTAAACTACGTATCACGATACGCAGGGTAAAAGTTGAGGCAACCGTCTCGTGAAAACGCAACTCTCTTTCGGTCGATGAGGTGCAAACGATACTCACATCGGATAGGGCTTGCACTTGAAGTATCCATGTGGCCATTTTCAGATGGACTTGAAAATTTAGAAAAGATTTAGTTTTTTAACAATATCCTGAGCTTTTTGTTTTTTGATGTTTAAGATATATCTAATCACAATTCTTATCGAGTCTTATCGCAGAAGAGAGTTCCCTTCGGGGTAAGGGTTCAGGAGTTTACCCTCGGTCGTTATGACAGCTCAAATTTGGACGCAGAAGAAGTAAAAATCCTGTGAGAATATCGCTTTGAGTAACACAACAAGAGGACTTCTGATAGCCCCTTTGCTACTTTTATATAACTGGCCATCTATGCTCCCGAGATCATCTATGCAAGCACTTTTTTGAAAGAGGGCGGTTCTAAAGACCTGTTCGAGCTCCCGCGACAGTCGGGTCTTTATATCGGAGCAACCGGGAATTTTATACGGCCAAGGACTATTACTCCCTCCAAATTCCTTGAAAACCAAATCGGTTAATATTTTGGGATTACAATAACAACAACAGAGCTCTTCGAGGCAAAGTGCTATCGACAGGCCTTAAACGCAACAAGTCATTCAACAGTTTATTTCTAGGGCCTTTGGGTGACCACTAAGACATCGACGAGCTTTGCCTGCTCCAACTGCTTGGTCGATAACAAGTATTTTTCAGCGATTGATCTCTAGTCTCCACCCTTAACGTTTTGTTGGACAAATATTTAAATTCCTCCCACAAAAATACATAAGTTCTTTGGGTGGTTTCAGCTTACTTACTACTTGTCGAGACGACTGTTCGCAATGGTTCAAGCGTATTGGACCAGAAACGTATTTGTCCCTCTCGACTTGCCGTTATCCACATGCCACAAGCTTCGGGCGAATCTTCGAGTGCTCCATTTAATTGCTTGCTAATATCCTCTTCATCCACTTCATCAACTTGTGCACGCAACAGGCTTATGGAACAAATCGGCGAACGATGTTCTGATTTTTTAACTACAGGTGCAGTTGATATTGGCAGTATGAGTGCCTCCTTCTGAGTGCTTGGGTCGTCTTCCTGAAATCCAAATATCAAATAAGATATGAATTCATTCCAGTCACAAAGAAAATCACGATTCTGATTGATTTTCAAATAGAGCCGGTTATATTCAATGTCAGTGAATTGTATACTGAGATTGTCGAGCACTTCACGAAGCTCTTTAACATTGAGCTTTTGCAATGGATGAGAGAAAAATTTATGACGTATGTACTCGATGTCTTCCGCTTTGAGCCATTCGTGTAGACGTTCCGGCCGTTCAATGCTGATGGAATGACCCGTTGAAACGGTTTGATAGTCGATATCCTCATCGATGAGAGAATCGTTTTTGCTGGACATTTTTTCCTTTATAATTTTTCCCAATTATTTTCACACAAAAATAGTTTATTATTTCTCACAGAATAAAATGTTGGTATGTCTTATTAATTCAAAATATATTCATGAAATAATTTTTTTTTAATATTACGGCTTGCTATACTTGAGTGATTCTTATATTGTTCGGAGCGAAAATTCAAATAAGTACAAAAAACAGTGGTTTTTGACTCAACTTATTCTAAAATTTTATTTTTTATTAAAATAAAAAATTTATATGCAACTACTTTAACTATAATAAACGCTTATAGACAACGCATTATTAATTCATTGATTCCATCTCCTCTATCACCGTATTCACCACCCCTTTTGAATGGCACCGATACTTTATTCTTCCAACCTTCTCGGGGACTGGAGAGCTGTTGGAGAATAACACAATCATATATAAATAAATTTATATATACGTATACAATATATTAATAGTATAATTTAATAATACCATAAAACTGCATAGGAATTCTTTAACAGCATCGAAATTTGGTCCTACTGTATAGATTTCGTGTATTATATCTTCCAAACAAATAATGCCTTTATCACCAAGATGTTCTTCAACCATTGCGTTGGATTGAATAGGTGTTTTTCTGGAATTAATACGTGCAAAACCTCTCTTAAACAGTAATTCACGTATTGTTGACAAAGTAGGATATCCATATACAACAAAAGGCTCTATGACTTTCAGCAGTACTTGAGTTTCCTTATTATTTCTTAGAAATACAGCGTTGTGGCGACTGGCCATATGTAAAGTGTTGAAAATTTTATTTGTTGTTTCATCGAAAATTTTTTTTCTATAAAACAAAAGCGAATTAAAAGAAGCCCAATATGAAAATATTGCTGGCATATATTTACCCTGCATGTCTCATAACCAAAATTAATTTTTCGTTTGATTTTTCGGGCTCATTAAAGTCCACCAAGTTAGTACGTTTCATAGTCTGTTTTATACGTTTAGCGGTGCGTTCTGCTTTAAGATAATTCATAACAAATGATTCTGGACGTTTGAATTTATGGTGTTTCTTGGCACTTGCAACTCTCTTGGTTTTTAGGGCTTTTTTCTGCTCTAGTGTTGCTTTATCTTGGAGAATGCGGCGTTTGCGGTGGGCTAAAACTGATACAGTTTTGCCTGGCAATTTGTTGGGAACTGCGAATCTGTAATTATAAGATACCCAAAAAATAAGTTGAATTTGACAATAATACAAGCATATACTTACTTGTCCATTTCTTTTTTCAAATTAAACAAAAGTAAATGTTGTAATAAATAAAAAAAATATACGCAATTTCTAAAATTGTAAACACGTGCGGTAAATGAACGAAGGTCCAAATCACCCAAAACAGTGCAACTTTTTGACAACACAAATCGATAGCAAAGCGTTATCGATTAATTTTAAGAATCATCCGATTTATAGTTTGTTTTGATTTCACTGTGAATGAAAACGAAAAACGAAATAAGATCAGCTGTTGCCAAACGTCAATATTTTTCACAATACATATTTAAGAAAATTAAATTTTATCAATACCCATATTGTAAAATAATTCAAAAGTAATCATTAAAGATTTAAAATGTCGTTGCTTGAACAGTATGAGCAGCAATATGCTGTACTGATTGCAGAAATAACTTCCGAAATAGCGCAACTAAAACAATTAAAAGGAGGTAGGCATATATTTTTTTTTGTTTTTTAACATTTATATTGTTTTTATCAACATTTATATTTTTAATATTTGCAGTGGAAAGAAGAGATCTCAGTTCTAAAATAGATGGTAGCCTTGCAGAGGCACATGAACTTTTAGAACAAATGACATTAGAAATTCGTGATGTAGATGTAACATTGCGTCCGAGTTATAAAAATAAAGTCAGTTGTGCCCAGGTAGAATTAAAACGACTACAAAATGATTATCGTACAACAAAGGAAGCCCAACAGAAGCAACATATGACAGTATTGGAATTAGGGGATGGTGATGCCGACTATTATGATGATGTTTCTATCGGAAATGATCAGCGACAGCGTCTTTTAGAAAATTCAGAGCGAATAGAACGAACGGGGAATCGTTTAGCTGATGGTTATCGTGTTGCTTTGGAAACTGAAGCTTTAGGAGCGCATGTCCTTAACGATTTGAATCATCAACGTGAAGTATTGCAGGGAGCAAGAGCACGTTTGAGAGAAACCAATGCGGATTTGGGTCGGGCATCACGGACACTGAATTCAATGATGCTACGAGCATTGCGAGAAAAAGCTGTATTATATGTAGTTGGCTTTGTATTTGTTGTTGCCGTAGGTATAAGCCTATATTTGACATTTTCATCTAGTAGTGGAGCCACCGCTTAGTTTGCCAACTCTGAGATAATGTTAATAATTATGGTATTTTAGGCAATATTGTATCTATTTATTTATGCAACCACTTTGTTATTATACATTCCTATTTTAATTGTGTGAGTATTTAAGATTTGTTGTATTGCAAAAGTATAAAACTTAATACAATAAAAAATTGAAGCATCAAAACGTATTAAAGTGTAGTTGGCTCCTTTCTTACCATTTGTCGTGGTCATGTGGTTTTTCCTCAAAATAAAAGGTTTTAATTTTATTTCATACGCATTTATTTTATTCAAAGTTAAGCAGTGACTACAATAATTTCTATATCTATGAGTATTTGTGATAAGCTAGGCCTCAGTTTAAGAAAACCTAGTATGACTGTTTTACTATGAGAAGATTATCTTATATATTTTTTCTTTGTATAAAACCTTTTATCCAACTTTCGAAACTTTTTAGCAAGCCTGATTACTGATTTTTAGGTTTGGCGTTGTGATCCGGTTTTTTTCAACATTCGATCATTTTAAAATCCTGTAATTAGTCAAATTAAAACATAGAATGTTGGACGGATTAAAAAAAACTGAATTAGTTGTTAATCAAATTTATGATTTCATTTTGTGACGTCAGATAAGAGTTCAATTAGTGAATAATGCTCATCAGGATGGAACATGTTTAAATTATAGTTAACAATTAAGACATGCTGACTGTAAGTAATCTTATACATAGGTCATTTGTTAAGAATTAGTTTTTAACAACAAATAAATAGGTATGATAAATAATTAAAAATAAATAAATAAGTTATTTTAATGCCTTCTAGCACTACACCATTCGATATATGAAGTTCGCTTCTCCTCCTTTTTAGCCGAACTCCACGTTCCCCATTTGCTAGCAAATGCATTGAGAGCTTTCCTCACTAGGATCAGCTTCGATTGCGGAATCGATTTTGAAGCTGTGCTGTTCAAGGGCTTGCAGCTCCATTTTAGAGCGATTAGCCTCAACGAGAATACGTGATATATCACTAAACATTTCTTCAACTCCATTTGATGTTTTGCAAGATGTTTTATACGTAGCACTAATTAAGCTGTGGCACTGTTCACAAAATGCTTCTACTTCGGCATCACTCACTTGTGGTTCACGTTCTGCTAAATCACTTTTATTTCCACAAATGAAAATTTTTGCATTTTCTGCATAAGTAACAATGTCTAGAAGATGTTGTGACAAAGAATGAAAAGAAGCGGCATTGTCCATGGCGAATACGAGTATGGCACCTTCAGCGAATTTGTAATATGAAGAAGTCACAGACGCAACACGTTCCATGCCACCAGTATCCCAAAGTTGTAACTGTTTTTTTTTTTAATATATATATAAATGTATATGTATATGTCTATTTATGTTAGCTATCGATCAGTTGTAGCTTACCTTGATTTGTTTATCTCCAACAGTATAGTCACGGTCTATATGATCCAAGCCCAATGTTGATTTGCGATCTGTTTCTGTTACTGTTGTCATGAATGGAGAAAATCATTGTGTTTATGTGTGCCAAAGATAATTACAAGTATTTAGTTTGCTTTCCTAGGTATTATACAAATAAGCCTACAAACCAAATGTGTTGTTGGTGAAGCGACGGAATAATGAGCTTTTTCCCACACCATAATCGCCGCAGAGTATAACCTTTTGCTTTGGTATGCGTACCGTAGCCATGGCTTCAAAAATACCTATTAAGAGCTACACCGACCAGTTAAAAATTAATTGTTTATAGTTATGTTGGACTTTCAGCTTAGAGGAATAATTAAATTTTTCTTCTGCCAATTAGCTTAAAAAGCTACCACTTGTTTAGAAAACAAAGACGCTTCTTCATTCAACATAACCCATTCACCATAACAATTTGCTATTGGTGAGAACAGTTGTCGACCAATCAAGTCAAATATTGTTCCTACAACCAAAGAACGTATATTAATATACGTTCTTTGCTACAATTTGATAATTTAAGCGAAAGTTAATTTCAATATGTATACTCTTTTAATAATTTTTTTAATCCAATGTACGAAAAAAAGGGGATCCGAAATACTTTATGGTTATGCATAATCTTAGGAGATATGAAGATCAATTGTGTAATTGAATAAAAGCAAGGCCTGCTGGACCTGATTGATTAATTTCTCATCTAGTGTTCCGGATTTGCTGAAAAACTACTAGTTCCTGGATCTCCCAACGAAAAACTGAGCGTTTCAAACAAATTTGGGTTTATTATAATTTAGTTTTGTTGGTCCCTTTAATCTATTTACTAAACCAGAGGCTATGCTCAAACCACGTTGGTATGTGCAAAGAACGTATATCATATACGTTCTTTGGTATGTGTTAGTTTTAGAGGGTATCGCAGGTGGAGGTTATCAATCTTCTGGCCAGATGCCAATAACGAGTAATCATCGGCATATGAGATCAAAAGAAAGAACTTACCTGTTGACCCAAACGGGGTTAGCTTGCCGGAAGGGTGACAGCCCTTGGCCGGATAAAATCCGAGTCAACTCCGGTACGTAGAACCAGCTTTCTTGACTGTCTCCGCACGACACTAACTACCTCTTCACATGTCCCCTTAAACCGACTCATCTAACCCCCCTCTTCCCTTGACCCAACCCCGTCGAAGCAGCTCGTTTACTGGACCTCCCATTAGATGCCCTCGGCGACTTATATTAGTGAAACCTGTACCTAAGGGAGGTTAGCGAACCGCTACAACAACATCAAAAGAACGACCACTGTTCTTGAAAAGAAAATCGAAATATTGATTATGTGCTACCAGCACAGTTCGCGAGCAGGTTTTATTTTGGTTGAGGCCATGAGCCATCTAGGTTCAAGTGGATTTTCGCTAATCTCGGTTAATTAATTTTTCATTAAGAATTTTGAAAAAAAAAGTAATAACATATCAAAAGATGGATGCCGGCAAAAATGTTTAAATGGCCAAATTTTTTATTCGATGGCAGTACTTCGCAGGTATGCCCCGAGCGCCATACAACTTTAAACGCGTTTTTATCGAAATCACTTTTTTAAATTGGCCGAAGACATAACTCGTACAAATCTTCACCAATTCTTACGAAATTTGGCAGTACATTCGAAATACCGTTCCCCGAAGACGTACGTAGGATTTTTTTTTATATTACATAGTGTTTTTAATCAACAATTTTATATCGTTTTTTATAGGGAAAACTGTAACTTTTTGTTCAAACGTGCACCATTTCGCGAAAAAAACCAACTATCGAAAAAATCCTACGTACGTCTCTTGCTGTTGTTATATAGAAATTATAAAAAATTTATGTTTTGATCAAGGACAAAAATTAAGGAGTTTACATCTTCGGCCATGGACCCATTAGAAAAAAATTTGCCTTCGGAGAAATGCTGGATAGCGGCCATTTTGATATTAATTCACACGAGAAAGTTTGTATTTGTACCATAAAACCTCTATTATTAAACCTGTTCCACAGATTTTGGATTGATTCCTTTGTTGAGTCAAAATAAATTCATAAAATATGGCTATTTTTTGCGCTCTAGACCAGCTTCCCGCCTTAAAATCAAACTTTCGTGGCCTCTAATCCAAATTTATCAAAGGATAGGAGATTCAAATATCCTGTAGTAATAGTGTAGCTAAAAAAAATGGGTTACAATAAAAAAAGTTATATAAATTTTTGTTTTGTTTACTTGGACCAACAAATTCTAATAAGGGTTCATGCATTTTTATCAACCGAGTAAAGTAAATAATTCTAACAAAACCGAAATGCAACCAGATTAAATTGAAGAAATATTTATGTACACACATATGTATGTATACATTAGTTGCACATTTACACATTTTATTTGCTCATTGATAAAGGTAAACATTTGTTTACGATTAGTTGACACACTCGGACAAATGACAAAATATCCCTCTGTTAAAAAATACTCTTCTATCCGATCGAATCACACGAAGCTATATATGCATAAAGATATGTTTATACGTACACGTATGTACATGTAAATTCTATGCGCAATGTAGTACTTTTGTCAATAAAAGACTTGATCAGTTAAGTAATTGCCGCAGAAGGTAATTTGAAGACTTTCTCGCAATAAGTCAACACGGCTTCGAGCTGAGAAAAGAAGACCATAGAAAAAGTCATAGCGGTTGGCAGAAAAAAAAAAAACAAATAAAAAATCGTTTAAACATATTCCCGCTGAGTGTGTCCTCATTTTCGCTTTCAGTTTCTGCATTTTTTACTGTTTTCGATTTTTTAAAAATGCGGGCCGATTTAATATATACAGCAGTTTTACTGGCAATTTGTGTTACGGCCACTACAGGTAAGCAAAACAAAAAGTGAAAAAAATTTTTAGATTTAGTTAAAATATATTGTTTAGTTAAATGAGTGCTTTCAGAAAATAAAAAATTCGATTTTGCTTTTCTTGTGTTTTCTGAGTGCTTTTTTGAGTCAGACAGAAAATTAAAATTCAAAATTCGATTTTGCTTTTCTTTTTGTTTGAAGTTTTACTGAATATTCATAGTATAAAAGTACCTGCAAAATCTGTAGCCGCTATCACAACAACAACAACAATCAACAAAATCTAATAAAAATTTATTTCTGATGGATTTTTCAATTTAACACCAGAAACAATTTGAAAAGAAAGCGTACAAGAAGCATATAATCAATTCCAACATTAATAATGTAGAATTACGTCATACAAGCAAGCTCGCCAGTCTTAACTATTTTCTACCAATAAAAGAGAGTTTCGAGCTCAAAAAATATCTATGTTGCTGGCTTTTATAGAAGTTAGTTAACATTTCGTTGAGTGTAATTTACACCAGTCAACAAAAAAAGACTTTTAATTTTTTTTTCTGGTTTCGTGCGTAAGTTCTGTTTCTAGATGTTGAAAGCACTCAAAAAAAAATATGTTTTTTTCTATTTTCATGCATTAATTCTGTTACCAGCGGTACTTTAACCCTTTTAGCGCCAGAAGCCGATATATCGGCAGTGACGACAAAAAATACAAAAGCAAACTTTAATTGAAAAAAAAATAAAATATATATATTTATGTATTCCCCTGCTTTTAATGTAGCAAAAACTGATACCCAAAAATCGTAATTACCGATGTTATCAATCTTTAATTTATAATAAGCAAAAACTAAACTGACGTACGTTACACTTCAAACCTAATAAGCCGTAATTTAATGCCGCGTACTTTTTATTTTTGTTGACAGACTAAATCTCAAATTTACGACAGTCACTACCATGGAAACCCGTTTTTGATAAGACGAGACACGCGTGAGACTAAAACTATCAATGCTTAATATCTCTCTTTTCATTTGAAATTCAAATAACATCGTATTATGCCATTCAATAAAAAGTATTAAATTTATGACAGCCTAATTTTAAGGCTAACTTGACTGTCCTTGGCAAATGGGCAGCACTGCGCTTAAGAGGTTTACCGTTTGAAGAAATAATCCGTTAATGCAAATTTAATCTTCATACAAAATTTTTTTATTCTTTCATCGCTTTTCCCATGTTTCTTCGTCGCGCTACGTCTAGCCAAAACCGGTTATGGACCAGGTGAGCAAGATTGGGGATTCGTTGATGTACGCACTGGCGCACATATGTTCTATTGGCTGTACTACACCACGGCCAATGTGTCGAGCTATACTGACCGCCCCTTGGCAATTTGGTTGCAAGGTGGCCCAGGTGCTTCTTCTACTGGTTATGGAAATTTCGAGGAATTAGGACCACTCGACCTCTATGGCAATTATCGTAATCATACTTGGGTTAAAGATATGAATGTGCTCTTCATTGATAATCCTGTTGGTAGTGGTTATAGTTATGTTGATAGCATACGCTATTTAACTAAGAATAACAATGAGATTGCTTTGGATTTGGTGAGCTTAATGAAGGGATTTTACAAAAACCATCCTGAATTCGAAACGGTGCCTTTGCATATATTCTGCGAAAGCTATGGTGGTAAAATGGCACCTGAATTCGCTTTGGAATTGTATTATGCCATTCAACGTGGAGAAATACGTAGCAATTTGACATCAGTTGTATTGGGTGATCCATGGACTTCACCAATTGATTCAGTTTTGGCTTGGGCGCCATTGTTGTTGCAAATGGTATGTACTCGTAGTATGTATGACTTATTTTGTTCACTGAATTGCTTATATGTAGGTATGTATGTGTGTATATTATTGAAAAATTTGATTTCCATTAGGGCATCGTGGATCAAGATGGTTATGAGAATATCTCTGCGGCGGCCAATAAAACTGAACGTTTAGTCAAAGAAGAAAAATGGACTCAGGCAACCAACCAATGGGGTACGACACAAAGTGTTCTTTTACGTGAATCTAAAGGTGTAGACTTTTACAATATTGAGACACCAACTAATGGCGACATATATTCGAAATTTTTAAGGAGTAATAATGTTGCGGGTAAGTAATAAATTCACACTCCGAACAATAAATAAATATTTATAACACAATGAATTAAATTTCAGAGCTGATGTACCGTACGTTGGTGCAATTTGATATTGATGAGGATCGTGATCAGATTTTGCAAGACTTGATGCGTGGTCCAGTTCATGAAGCTCTAAATATTTCTTCGAAAGTAAAATGGGGCTCTTATAGTGGTGTAACGTTTAGCAGATTAGGTGGAGATTTCATGAAGCCAGTTATAAATATTGGTAAAATAATAATCAATAATATAATATATTTATATAAATATTTTTTATCAATGAATTTTCGTTTTTACGTTTAGTTGAAGAACTTTTGGATAAAACCGATTTGAAAGTGGGTGTCTTATCTGGCCAATTGGATTTGATTTGTGCTACGCCGGGCACTGTTAACTGGATTGAAAAGATGCAATGGAGTTATAAATCTCAATATGAAGCCGCACCACGCGTTGGCATTAGTGTCAATCGCATTTTGGAGGGTTATGAAAAGAGCGCTGGTAATTTCACTATGTTTTGGGTCAACCGGGCTGGACATATGGTGCCTGCTGATAATCCCGCTGGCATGGGACATATCTTAAGGAGATTTACCAATTTCGGTTGATGAAAAATGCTATAGAAAAGCAAAATGTGATCAATACAATTATACCAAATCACAAATCGGCAAATAAAATGATTACTAAATGCTTTTTATTTTAATTTAACATTTTAAATAAAATTCATAAATTTAAAAATTGAATTTGTGTGTGTTAATATCAGCGAGGTCGATTTTACTTCCGCTTGTGGAGTAGTGCTGCCAAGTTTCGCAAAAATATTTATGTTGCCGGAAACTCACAATATGAAAAATATTCATATATGTAGTTTTTTGCTCACTTCACAGCCATAACATACATCAAGTGAATTTGTTAACGTACAGATAATTGCGAAAATAATAAAAAAGGCGAAATTGGCCGCTGTAACGAGGGGCAAGTTAGGTAAACATGTACAGGTCAAGAGTCCTTGGGAAATTACTAATAAAGCTTATGGAAATACATTACTTTTTTAGAAAATAAAATTTTTTTTGTGCATTGAAATAGTCCCGTATGCTAGTCAAAAGCAGTGTTGACCACAAATCGTCATTCGTTACTTCTAAATGGACAGTTTAGGTAAACCCTTAATCATGCGTTTGTTTTACTCGCTTCCCCCTAAGGAAATCTAATTTCTTATTAAATATACATGTATGTATACACATCCTTAAAGTACAAAAAAGAGTTTTGTTTATTTTTTATTTCAGTTAAGATTTGTTATTTTTAAAAATACATTAATGCATAGTACATTGAACTCCTTTGCAGTTCAGTTTGTATGTTTCAAAGTCAAATGCCACAGAAAATCACTAGCTCACTTAAATACAACTGAATCGAGCATAGCACCAAGGCATTGTACAATGTTGTTTTGCATCACCTTATCGACTTTCTCTTCAAGATGCCGTTTGGGATCTTGCTTTCCAACATTCTTGATCGCCAGCTGTTCGGGTGTCATTTTTTCTTCATCCTCAAGTGACTAAAAACATAGATAAAATTTAATCAACAAACTCTGACGTATTTATGTGAACAAATGTCTTACCTTGTTATAGTTTTTAGCTAATTCGAGCATTTCTTGCACCGTACTTTCGTTGATCGAACAATGTTCATTGTAATCAGCCAATGTCAGACCATCCTTCCAAGACTTTTTGTGCAGATTAAGAAGCATTTTTTGTTCTAATTCATTCTTACGATAATTAATACTAATCGAGTAGTAATGCCGATTAAGGCCATGTATCAAGGCCTGCACTGAAGGTTTTTGGAGATGACCTAAATTTGAGGTAGTCTGACGCGGTTCTTGCCCCAATACCAACATATTCGGGTTGATAAGACGGAAGGCATCAATAACTACTTTGCCCTTCACCGATTGTATCGGATCAACAACAACGGCCACAGCACGTTCCGATAATGCTTCAAAAGATTGTTGTGTATTGATATCGACACCAGATAACCAACAACCGAAACCAGGATGCGAGTGATACCAACCAACTACCATTTCCGGTCTGCCAGTCTGTTTTAACATATCCAACATTTTCGCTTGAAACACTGGATCAACAGCTTCAACCGAAACGCCAGTACCTGTTTGCGGCATAGCAAATACATCGATTACTTGTACCGTGTAATCATCTACAAATTCGCCCAACATTAAACCCATAACTTCCATTGGTACACCAGCACGACCATGTTTTAACATTTTTAGTAACGCCAACGAAGAGATGTATACTTGCTCAGCAGTATCCACAACAGGGGCATCTGTTGGTGGTGGTGCTTGCGGCATAGCGCCTCCCAAACGCAATAAACGATCCATGCTATGAGTAAGACAAAAAGTTATTAATATTTTTTTAATGAGAAAAATTTTATTTTGTTTTACCTTATAAGTGTAACGTTTAAAAATGTGTAATAATGATCGAAAATTTATAATATTCCGGTAACTTTTGAGGAAAAAATGCAAGAACACAACACAGCAAAATTTATAAATGTCACTGCAAGCAATTTGACAATTAGAAATGTCAGAGAAAATGTGCACCGTCACAGCGGTGCGGTATGTTCAGTGTAGACTGTTGTTTGATTGCCGCTGAGCGTGTTCATACGATGGGCTGTAACGTTCGATTTTAAAGTGAAATTTATGTTGGTTTACAGAAATTTTGAATTGTAACTATTTGGATGAAAGTAATTTTAAATTTTTTTTTACATTTAAAATACATGCATTGCTAACTACGTACATATGTATGCATAAACATACATACATAGAAAATATAAATATTGACTACAAAAACAATTTTTTAGATAATTCTATGCATATGTATGAGCGTTAAATATACCGTTCCGCAAGAAAGCGCACAACTTTACGTACCTACCACCAACTAGACTTGGAAAGGTGATCGTCATTTTATTATTAAGGCAAGTAATTAACACACAAGTTGCCAATTTCCTACTTCAAATTAAAAATGAGACAAGACTAACAAATAAAGAAGTTAATAAAAAATTATAATAATTTTATATGTATAAGTTTGTGCACATGTGCTTCATTGGTGTGTACCCTTAAATAAAGTTGCAGTTAAAAAAATGCGATTTGAAATTAAATTTGAAATGTCCAACAGACATTAGTGACCAGTGTTACTTAAAAATAAAATGTGGTTATAAATAAAAACAAAAAAAGGAAAACTTCGCAACTGTAAGATTGCAGTTTGGCAATTTATAGGTACGTATGTATGTATGTACGTAAAGGCACAAACAAATATATTATACTTTATTATTATGTATATGTAGTTTGTATGCAAATGTATACTTTTTTGCATTTTGCCCAAGTCGATCAACTCATCTACATAACCATGTTTATATGTATGTATGTACATTTCGATTGCAGTACATTCACTTATTGGATCACAAACCGCAAAAACAGATGAAAAATCATCCATGTACACAAAAGATAGGTAGCCAAAAGGCAGATAGACAGAAAAGAGGGCAATTCAATACACATACTTGGTACCTACTAGTTAGTATAACTATAACAACCATAAGTATAATTATCAAGTCGCTGCTTTGTGTTCAAATTTTTATTGTCTTTTACTTTCTTTATCTTTTTTGCTTACCTGTTTGCATGTACCGATGTACCAATGTATTGTATGTATGTACATATACCTACACGTATATATGTAAGATGTTTACCTAACGCTAGGAGGCATATTTCGAGCGCTACTCTATTCTTTGCGCTCACTAACTTTTGACTTTTTCTGCTATTGTTATTATATTTACTTTTTAATGTCGATTTTCTTGGCAAAGCTACAATTGTAAATACATAAATATGTATGTATTGTATGTATATATGTAAGTACACTGTCTACCGGAATTTTCAGTTGTATTTTCTCACTACAATTTTTTGTTACCTGAAAACTATGGTTAATTTTATTTTGTTATTTTATTTTACCATGACTTACAGCAGTTCTATTTTCGAAGATTATTTTGTCGTGTTTCAGTTTTTTTTTCATTATTATTTTTTAACGCAATCAACTAAGGTAGTAAAGACTACAAGTCGCTTTGGCGCAGTCTTGGGCCATTTACTTAGCCGTAGTAAGCTGCTGTCTGAAATAAGTTTGAAAAGTTTCAGTTGCATTTTGTTGCCGAATGAGTACTGTTGCTCTCGTAGTTAAAAATTAAACATCAACCAGTAGTATAATATATTATTATTTGAGCTGACAGTTGAAATGAACAATTAAATGTTGATAAGGTGATCGCAGAGATCTTTTCGAATCAAAAACGAAAGTATTGAAAATTGGCAAATCTATAAAATAAAAATTAAACAATTTATATGAGTTAATTTGCAAAAGCAAACATACAGTTATTTGTTTATGTGGCACATGTGCATTGTAGTGTGTATTGATTGCTGACGATGCAAATTGTCAGTTGACTGACTGAGTCTGCGGTTTTTAAAATTACAACAACAACAATTACTACTGAGGGTACAACAAACAATACAGTCTTTGCATATTATCTGATATATATTGACAGGTAAGAGGCATATTAATATGAAATTTTCTTAAGAAGCCAACCATATGCTTTTGTCATGGATATAAGAATAAAATGGAAATATTGAGAAATTTACATAATTACAGAAAATTGAAAAATTTTGCATGAAACGCTATGTATTTTAATTCATATTTACGTTTAAAAATAAATTTACAATTCTTATTACAAAATGCATATATTCATATTTAGAGCAATTGAAATCGCTCAAAGCAAAAAAAGCTTGTATTTATTTTCCAACTTCCTGTGACTGCATTTTAGTAGCAGTTTATTGTTTTTTTTTTTACTTTTCACGCTTCACCACGTTTATTCAATAGCCATGTTTTCCATTTTATTTTATTTAAATTATGTTTTTTTTTTTTGAACGAGCCAAGGCAATAATTACAAATATTTGTAGGCCAAACACAGCTGAAACTTATTAAAACCAATTGCAAGCACAACCGTCTGTATGTATGTTTCTAAATAGAAGAGTTAACGAATTTAAATTTATATAAATACACACGTAAAATATACTAAATTTTTATGAAGTTAATTCCAACCAAATTTTGCGGAGCTCTTTTTTTATTTGTGAGTAAAAAATAAAATGTTCCATTATGTATGTGATAACGATGTTTTACGGTGCTGTCAGACGTAGCAATTAATTAATTTTAAATTGATATCTAATTTTCAATGCAGTCACACGTAGCAGAAAAAATTTCATGGAAATTGAAGTTCTATTTCTGGAAATTAACTTATTCCACAATGATTTATTAAAAATCTGCTTTGACTATTAAACTCAAATCCTTTGGCAGCACTTTCAAGAGAGCAATTGGAAATTTGATTGCAAAAATTAAATTGCAGATAAATGAGCGCAATAACTTACTGCAATTTTAATTTCTGCAATTATATGAAATTAAATTTCAGAAATTAGTTTCGTTTTGGTCATACGTTGAAATTGAAATTTTTCGACAGCACAATGCGTGGAGAAAATAAAAATTTCGTGGAAATAGCTACGTCTAAGCGCACCATTATTGTCGAATTCAGCAAATAAATTTTTTTTGTTTTACTACCTTCTCAACTTTAGCAGTAAACTACAATTTCTGATCAAAAAAAAAAACTATGCGGTTTTAAAAGTCAAAGAATAATAGTGGTTCCTCTGTTATCGATAAATTTGGCGGTTGACTTTTAATTTTTCGATTTGCAGTGTTCAAGGCGATGACAGAGCTTAATCACTGCGATCGATGACATTTTGACTTTCGATATCTGCGATAAGCACGTTTCTAGCTGTCAAGTCAATAACAGTTTACTCACATATTATAAGTGTTTCGTTTCTCTTACCATAAGGTGAAGCAAAAGCTGCGGATTCCTTAATGAAATACATCATACTTAAATATCATAAAAGAATTAAAATAATACAAAAATTTATTTCTCATTAGTAAATTTAAATTTTGTTCTATTTTATAAAGCTAGTAAACAGCGAAAATATAAAATATCGGTAAATTTTTACGCTTTCTCTGTGTCATTTTCTCCGTTTGCTTGGCATTGTAGCCAAATTTTCATTTGTCAACCACAGCAAGGCAGGTTTTCCGGATATTAGCCTTAAGAAAGTTCTCCCGCAATACTTTAAATGTCCAAGGACAACAGTGGCTCCATCTTAGTTTAATTTAAGAACTGCACTTTGATATTCTTCTTTCAAATTTTATGTTTAATATTTAAATGCAATGACATATGAAACTGCCGAAACTAGGTTTGACATTCGAAATGAGCGCGAAGGCAAAGTTTCCCAACTGTCAATGACAAAAAAAGCTTTAATGCTTTCCTTTTTGACTTTTCTAAGCTGAGCAAAAATCCGACTTCATTTTATTCACGTGGATTAATGGTTGATTTTAATTTTTTTTTAATTTACGTGTATTTTATAGGCTTGAGCACAAAAACTCTTCACTAAGTTCAATTATTAAACAAAATAATGGATTTTAAACTTTTTGCAAGAATAATAATTGAAGAGCATAATACTCACTGTGCTTTGTTTTTGCGTTTTTCGCTTCACTGGCAAAGTTAGAAACATCAAGCGAACTAAAACCTTTTATCTGCCATCTGCTTAAGTGTTTCACATAAAATTTCGTACCACCTTAATAAAAAATAATATTTCGCAAATGCGGTTTTTTTTGTATGTGTCAAGTTCGTTATTGTCTGAATCTCTCAAAACCTTATCAGCAATTCGGTGAAATAGTAAAATAACAACAACACTGGTAATAGATAAAAAATAATTGCAACAACTCTCATACGAATAATTTGTGTTGATAAAACACAATTTTTTATGTGTGCTATGTTGGCATATAATGTTTGAGATAAACATGCATACATATTATATGTATGTACTTTTGGTAGGTAGATTCTTATAAAAAAAATTAAATCCATAAACACATTTCCAATGCAAGCAGTGTTTTAAGCGACAGCAACACGTGAATATTCATAGTGTCGCGCTCATGAGGGCGCTCAAAAATAGAATTTTCATTCATGCCGACTGTGCTGCGTATTCAGTGCGCTCCCTGTGGCATCTTTAATTCTAGTAATAATTTTAAAATATTTACTCCCAACATTTTACTAAATTAAAATCAAATTTGTACCACCCTAACGCCGCACCAATTACGTACACAAACACATTTAATAACCTATAAAAAAATTACAGAGAGGTGAATGTTTTAATTGAGGTTTTAAAAAAATATTAAAGCAACGACAAAACATTTGAGTTGTGTGAGCGTTAAATAGTCGCAGTCCATAAAGCTGCTCGTGTGTTAAATAAGTATTCGCAACGGTCGCGCTTTGAAATTTCATAATAAACTAGTGAACACGCCGCGAAAAAAATATAAATAATAATAATAATTTTCGACATATTTATATACAATACATTTGTATGATAAAAATAATAAAAATAATTGTAACAAACATGTTTTTTTAATTAACTAAAAATCAACTTAAGTGAAAAGGTTAATGAATGAAATGTAACGACGAATGAGTGATTTAATTAAGGTGACCATAATAAATGGTTAAAAAAAATTTTTGGCAACAACTTTGTGAATATATATATATATATATATATATATAATACATACATATATATATAATAAAAAAATATTGCAGCTTTAATCAATGTAAAATTGTTCCTAAAATATATTTTGTCTAACTGAGTTATTAATCTAACTACAGCAAGAAAAAAAATACGTAGCATTTATTCACAGCGAAAATGCAAAATATTGTATTTTATTGATTAAAGGTGATTATCAACGTTGTAGCATACATAAATGCACATGGACGGCTTATCTATAATAACACACATATGTACATACATTCGCTAATTTACATACATATGTACATAGAAATGAAAATTTTGTATTTCAACGTTATCTTTCGCCGTAAAAAGGCGTGCTTTTAATTCATTTTTTATTATTTTTCATTGATATCTAAAAACGAAAAACTAATTAAAAAAAATTAAGGATCGGCGAAACCTGCTATTGGGAAACGAAGAAAAACCATAATAACCATAATAATTCAATAATTTTAATTAATAATAATCTACATTTCCCCGACGCTCAAATTTCGCTGTTTCTTGTAAAATATCTGAATTTAAGTATAAATCTCAATTTAAGTGAAATCAAGATGAAAGTACTTAAAATTTCACATACAACACTGAAAACAGCTATTGTGAATGAAAGCAAAAAAGAAAACGGCATAAATTAATAATAAATCAATTAAAATATTTTTATTAAAAAAGAAGTGGTAGAAAAGTTGTTATTAAATAAAATCAATGCTGAAAACTCAAGAACCTTTTTCTATTATGAAATACAGCCCAGTGGATTGAAATATTTCCAAGAAGTATAGCTCTTATAAGGTTAAATGGATTTCTTTAAAGAAAATTAATGTCTAATTTCAAAAAAAAAATTAATATCAAAAATAGAATATATTATTCAAACTACCTACTTTCTTAAAGATATATGTACATTTGTGCAAGAATTTCTGATAATTTCAAAAGAAAATTTTCAAATTTCTAAAACTAAAAAAAAAATATTTATATTTCAAAGTTTTGGTAAATAATTAGTCGTATAAAATTATTAATTAAATTTTTTCTTTTTTTTTTTTGCTGCTAAAACGCGTCCTTTTTGTTAGTGAAAGCAAAAAATTAAAACGGTTTCTTTTTCTGTATCACATTGGCTATGGCCGGAACCACGACGGAACATTTTCACCAAAGAAAAAAAAACTAATTGGCGAACTTTTTAATTTGTTTACCCTTTTTTCAAATTTATTTGTTTAAATTTTTTTTTTAAATAACAATAAATATAAAATAAATGGCATTTTCATGTTGTTAAGGTCAATAGTTTCTAAATAAGAGTGTCACCCTGTGGAAAAAACGTCGTTTCGAGAAGGTATTTGTTCGGTCGGATTTACCGCTTGGCGTGCTCCGCTCTCCCATCTATACCTACTACATCTTGGTCTTACGGACCTTCGGGACTGATTCTATATTATTTCTAAAAGTAATTTACAGGAAAAAATATTTCGATATTTTGAAAATTTTTTAGAGACCTTAACTCAACAACACTGCATCGATGAACTTAATTACATTTTTGACGATGAAGCTCTATCAAAGCTCTATCATGGTACGTGTATGTCGCCCAAAATCAGTTGTTGTCCCTGATATTACAAGATCGCCATGTGACCTATGGTGAGTTATAGCCTATTTCCACCGGACGTTAAATGCATTTTAGCTTAAATGTATTTAAACATCGCATTTAAATGCGGTAATTCCCATGTGTTTGTTGTTGTATAAAAGTGTGTTAACTCACTTTTCAAAGTGAGTTAACTCACTTTCGGCAATTTAACAGAAAATGTTATGTTAACATTGGATGCTGTCACTACTAATGTAATCATTTCGGAAGTTTCGGTGTACTTCTTGCCAGAGTCGTGTGTTTTCGGATTTAATGAGGGGCGAGATTTTTATTTTGCATGGTGAAATTTTTTGTATAAAAATTCCTTTTTTGCATTAGTTTTAACATAAATGCCTATATTAAGTAATTGGCGAAGAGAATGCTTCTCCGCCTTCAAAAAAAAACTATAAGAAACAAACAAAAAACAATTGTGAAATATCAAACGATCCCCTCAACATAAAAATATACGTGGCTCTGGTAACTATCAGCTGATTGCGCAAAATAAATAATTTGAGGGAACAAACAAACAAATATGAAAATGGAAACATGCATAAAAGCATATTCGTTTCAGCAACGTTTGTCCGTGCAGAAATAATCTGCACTTGCAAGTCTTAAGATTGCAGAAATAGCCAAATAAAATGAATGCGGTCTCTTGAATTCATGATTTCTATAGTTGTGGCAAATTTTGTAAACTGCAAATGTAAACAAAAATCAGCTGTTTGAGTTAACTCACTTTCGGTGGAAACGTTTGACATTTCATTTACTTAACAGAGGCCTTAAATGCATTTAAGTGCTTAGTGGAAATAGGCTATTAGAGACAACTATATGCATTAGGGTAGTGTAATATTGCTTGAACATTTGACTGCAAAATTTTTCACACGGGTCAAACCCAATTTGCCAATCGCTCAGAAAAGAGGCCCCTGTCGATTTGCCAAGGTGAAAGTTAAAAAATACGACAGCCGCGCTTCGTAACATGTCAACGATATCGGGATAGGAGATGAATCGTGGTTTTGCGCGTATGAGCCCGAGAGTAAAGATATGTCAGCCGAGTTCAACAAAAGATGTTCACGCACTAGAATTTGGTCCAAGAGAAATAAAAACAAGTGGAAACTGAATTTTTGAATTTTTCAAATAGTTGTGATTGAAAAAATGCAATTCTTCGTCCAATTCCACTTGAATTGTATCTCGAAGGGTGGAGTAAAGTTTTATCAAGATTGAATAATAAGTTTTCAAGAACTTTTGACTTTGAAAACACAGTTTTGTTGAAAATCGCTGAGCCTACCTGCCCTAGAGCGCGCACCTTCCCAAAGCTGTATTTCAGAAACTTTTATTCAGATCGACTTGAAAATTTAAGGCAATATACTCGAGATGTTGTAGAAAGTAATGAGACAATAAGAGAAATTTGTTTTTACAATAAAAGCTGTGCAACCCATGTGCCTCTGAAGAAAAAATGGAATAAAAATGAAGCTTAGAGGTTTGACAAACTTTCGTAATTGAAACGTCATGGAAACGGATTTCACGTTGATTGTTTTTTTTTTTATTATCGAGGTATTTCGGGCACGAAATTCTTGTCAGAAGCTCAGAGCGTAAATAAAGATTTAAGATTTTTTAAGATTTAAGATCTGAGTGTTTTGTGGCGCTTCAAAGAATTCTTCGATAAAGATCAGATTCAGAAAAGTCGTTGATTTTGTAGCACGATAATACACTATGTCACGAGGTTGGCGCTGGGAACGAATTTAATAAATAATATGAAACATTTATCACTTGGAATCTCTTTCTCAACTCAAATTACAACTTGGCGAGCGCCGTTTTCAGTAATAAAAGACATTGCCCAGATGGATATAAATAATTTGTATTTTGTTGACCTATTCCCGATTCATTTTTGAAAGAATGTGTATATCAGATGTTGACTCTTTGACTAGTGACTTATAAAAAATTCGTTTTGGTAACTTATTTTCTTATTTTAAAGTTCAATTAGCTAAATTTAAATTGAAAAAATTGTGCAATAAATCCTCTTAATCGTAATAAGAACTCTTATGATCTGAGTTGCTGAGAGAGGCTACTATTTTTTGCTGAGAGAAAAAATTTCATAATTTCAGTAAATGCTACTGACCATTGGCCAGACACAATCTATGAGCCATCAAGGCTGTAGGCTGACGGTAGCCAGTTTTCTTTACCACACAGCTTTCGCAAGCTTGAAAATCCATTAATTGATTTGTTTAAAATTGCAATTTTTATGCGCGTGGCAATACAAAATCAACAACAACAACAACAACAACAACAACAACAACAACAACTGTAGCAATAACAACACTGCAGGAAGCTCACGATTTTTATGCTGTTGCTTCCGGTCTTACAGCTTTTAGTCGCCGTGAACTCTTACGACCATTTCCATACGTCTAAAATGTATACACATGCACATATATACATATGTATAATATAATATGTATGTATTTTATACGTTTCCCCAACGTTTTACCTTCTTTTCTTAGTTTCCACGCACCGGTGCTATCGTTGTGAACGTCAAAATGTACCGCAAAGTGTGCTGGTTACACGATGCTACCTGTGTACATACAAACATACATACTCGCATTGTGGTTATGAAAATCTTTCGACATCTGCTACTAGTCTGGTATAGGTATGTACGTACATACATATGTAAATATAACTAATTTTATTGCCCCGACATGTAGTCGGCATGTTCGTTGACTAGCATTTTTTCCTTTGACGACTTGATCGGCATTTACTTGCCACATTTTCAGTTCAAGCTTCATAGACATACATAAATATATGCTTTACATGCAACACGAGCCGAGTTGTTTAGAAGCAAATACATTTAAAGGCTATCCGAAGTATGTGTGTATGTATGTATTTATATAAGCCAATTGTAACATTTAGCTGCAATTAACGGTGATTTGCGCAAATGTGCGGAGAAAAGCATACAAATATTTAAAATCTCGTTTGGCTGACTGCCCGCTCTTAAGTATGATTTATTTGCTTAATACACTCTTAAATATATAACCAATACATATGTAGGTATGTGCGAGGTATATTTCTTCATTTTTATATGTCTCTTCATTTGTGCATGAAAATCGGTATGTATATATACATATGTACATTTGTACATAAATTTATTGGCTGTGTCGGATTTTCACTTTTTAAATAACTAGTGCAATTAATTGGAATTTTAATACATATTTACCACTAAAATGGCAAGTAAAGAAAAAAAAAACAATTACAAATATGTAACGCCGCAACAAGTTGATGAATTTATGTGCGTGCCTATAAATATCCATATTTACGATATTAAACGCAATTTACTTACATACATATGGATGCACATATAAGCGTTATTTGGCTTTATTGAATGAAAATTTTTGTACTTTCGAAAAGTAAAATAAAACAAAAAAAACCAATTAAATTACTCTAAAATTAAATAATTAATATAAATAAATTAAATAAAAAAATTACCAATTTAAATAAAATGAAATAAAACGAAGTTAAGTAAACTAAAAAACGATTAAAATAATTGAGTAAAATAAAATAAAATAAAATAAAATAAAATAAAATAAAATAAAATAAAATAAAATAAAATAAAATAAAATAAAATAAAATAAAATAAAATAAAATAAAATAAAATTAAAAAATCAAAGAAAATACACTAAAATTAATTAAATTAAAATAATTAAATTAAATAAAAAAAAATACCAATTCAAATAAAATAAAATTAAATGAAACTAAGTAAACTAAAAAATATTTACAATAAAAATGAATTAAATGAAATAAAAATAAAATAAAATAAATAAAATAAAATGAATTAAATGAAAATAAATTAAAAAAAAACTAAAATACATTAACATAAATTAAAATAACTCAAAAAAAAAAGAAATTGAAACAAAATAAAATAAAATATACAATAATAAAATAAAATAAAATTTAGTAACTGTTTTTGCGGCAGTGCTAAACAAAAATTTTTGTACTAAGTATACTGAAGGACTGGTTTTTTTGTATGAATTGAATATTTTGTTATACAACAAAAAAAAAAAAAAACAGTAGAAGTGACAGCTGTTTCGGAGATCCCCACATCTCCTCATCAGAGTTCATATGGGAGGGAACGCATAAACGAATTCTGTCTTAACTTAAGTGCTCTATCACAGAGCCAACTTCATCCATGTAATCTGTTGCTGTACATATTATTGAATTCATTACTTTCTTTGATATATAAAATAAATATCCGAATAAATTAAATTAAATATTGAGAACTAATTAACATTGTATGTAAGTTTAAATTTTTGCCTACATTTAGGCGCATTGTTAATATCTATTGTAACGTCAATAACTGGTTTTATGAAGGTGGTTGCTATAGTTGAGGGTCATGGGTTCGATTTCTGAATTCTGAATCAGATCAACTAATCTTGTTGTGATCAATTATCGTTATACTCATTACCATAATCTCTAAAGCCATTAATACGTTTTAAACACGAAGTTACTTTATTATTTAGACTGTCGAAGCTTTGCATTCACTAATAGTTTTATTAAATTTCAAAAAAGCCTTGCGGCACGGGTTAGCTTATATATGTAAAAGAAAATAACTCGAACTGCAAGGAAAATCAAAATAATAAAGTAATTACAATAATTGTAAGAAAAAAAGATAAATTGCTTTTAATCATGAAACTGACATTTACTCCACTTGTTGTTGGCATTGACAGCGGCTGGTAATGAAAGTTTTAATTAGTTGATATTGAGAGGCGCCAAATGATGCCGACAGACAATTTTTCTTTAATTTATCTCTTTTACTTTTCATTATAATTAGGTAAATTAAGCATGCTTTTCATGGATTGGCGGCGAATGCAACACCTGAATTGCATTATTTGTTGCTTTCCATGGTAGATTTCTTTATGTACGTCATTATACAAACTAACTATTTGTCCTCTCTCAAGCAAAAACACACAAACATATATATGTACAAACTCACTCTACTTTTACTTTGCAGCATTTCAGAGTACAGTTCAATTGCAGTGACGTGATAAAAAGCAATGACATCATTGACAACGACGACGGCTGTCGAAACGTCATTTGTGGCAACAACAAAAGACGCTGGAGGGGGAGTAGATGAAATGAAGCAGACAGAGACGAGTGCCAATGCATTGGCCGAGGTGAAGCAAGAAAAGACGATAGAAATGATAAGCAACAATAACCCAATAACCGATATTGTGAAAGAAACTAATGCAATGACAGCGGCAACAACAATAACATCAACAGCAGCTGCAACAACAACATCAATGGCAGCACCGACAACTGCTGTTGCTGAGAGTGTAGTAGCTGAGGCAACAACAGCAACAACGGCACCAAAACAAATATCTGCTGTAGCGACCACAACAACACCACCGCACACCAGTGCAGCGAGTAAAATACCACATTTACAGCAACAACACTCACCACCATTCACACTCAACAGACGCTCGAACCAGTTATTACACTCACCCGATGCATTGCGACGTTCCGCGTCATTACGCATGCGCGGCTCAAAATCAAATCTTTTCAACAATTACGACGAACACTACATGGAAATGGAACGTAGCACGCGCCATCTAAGCTACGCAAAGCCACCAAACACTACAACGAACACCCGCTACAGCCAACCGCTTGGAGGTGTGCTTGGTGAGCAGCAGCAACAACAACAACAAGGACAATCACAGAAAGAAAGTGACACCAACGAACAACACACACACATCCATGCAGCCGGTTCGTTTGGGGGTGTAGTAACACCAACAACAACAACAGCAGCAGCAGCAGCAGCAACGGCAACAGCAACGCGTCGCAAGGCCACACATTTGTTTGGCTCAACGCTGTCTACGCAAACACCCGCCATGACAGTTGGCAATCTGACGCGTTCGCAATCGTTACGTCGTAGTTATCTAAATTATAGTTATAATTCGCAACAAAAATCGGTCAAAACGGATGCATTAAAGGAGCAAAGTGCTGATGGCGCCTCTAGAGCTGCAGGCACCACAGCAGCTACTGGCACGGATGTGGCTATTCAAGAAACTACTGCAACAGATAATTTGTCGCCTCTAAAAATAAACTCATCGCAGTCTAATGGTTCCGTCCCGAATGGTTGTGGCAAGCAAGAAAATGACATAATGTACAAAAGTGGCGGTGTCGGCGAACAGCGCAGGATTGACAGGGATATGCAGAGAATGGTAAGTGCAAAACTAAAAAAAAACACATTTTTCATTGTTACTTAAAGCCAAAAAAGTGATGATCACAAGCTTCTTACACAATACGTTTTTTAAATTACCTCAGCTTGGCAAAGGATTATTTATGCGTTTGGGAGTTACGAGTTCTATTGATTTTTTAACGCCCGTGTCGAAAGATTTTGTAAGCGAAAAATATACTTACATACATATCTACCCTTAAAGACACCCAATCATATATGTATGTATGCATAGGTAGTACTCTGTGGGTAGACAAACAAACATTTACATACATATCATTTCTCCATATGGTTGCAAATAGTAAACACTACGAAGTCTAGCAAATTTCGCAAAATATTATAAATACATATATTACATATGTGTAAGTATGTAGTGTTGGCTAGTAAAACTGCTTAAATGAAAAATGTCGAGCTTTGTTTTGGTTTTTAGGTCAAAGGAGTATGAGTTCACGAAGGCTGCGGCTTCACTTTTAACATTTGCATGTGGCTATCGCAGTGCTGAAAACATACCCCTCATGTGCTTACATACTTATGAGCATGTGTATGTATGTGTGTGTGTGCGAATGCCTTAGAGACCTCTCGGAGCTACTACTTTTGGCGAAACAGTTTAAACATGTATTGTTGTTGCTCTGCCAAATACGGCTGAAGATTACAGTGTGAGTAAGAAATAAACGTATAATGGAAAAAAGTAGTAAAACAAGAGTAAACGGACCAAATTTTTGGATGCCCTGAGATTATGCTTTTCCAACGCTTTTTTGTTTTGTTTTTTTTTTTTTTGTTATTGAGTCTGAATTTTTCGTTTACATTTTTTTTAATGATTTTTTATTAATATCACTTACAATAGTTGGAATATAAATCCTATATTATACAACCAAGCAACACTAAAATAGTGGTAAATCGCTCGAGGAAATCAATAGCGGCCTGGTCTGGCTTTTGCATACCCTCAGTCCTTTTAAAACTTCAGAGAAACGAAAGTAAGAGAAAACATTGGTCTCTTAAGAGTGGAGAATTTTTAAAGATCCATATTAAATTACTTTAACGAGGCGATTTTTTACCGAGCTCCGCCTACAATTCGCGGTATACGTCTTGATGTTTCCCAAAAAATAGAGAGTTGGTTTTAAGCCGCGACCGAATGGACGATGGATTTTCATGAGCAGCTTTTTATTTCATGTCAGAAATACAATCTGCCGAGTAGTGACTGCAATTAGAAAAATTAATTTTCTATAATTTGAGATGTTGGTCAAACCAAGAAAGAAAACCCTGGATTTCAGAATGGCAGAACGCATGCAGACCATTCCGGTCTAATACATCCCAGCGAAAAGTGAGTTGTCTTTTCTTTCTGCCATTTTGCACCAAACCAGGGCTTTCTCCAATTTATCTTTCAAACAATTTATCCCATTTATCTTTTCTTCTTATGCTTCTACTTCGATTACTTTTAAGGCTGAAGTGCTCTAAACCATGCGAACAACATGACCTTGCCAGTGTAGTCGCTATCTACGCAATCCAGCGTTGAATTACAATCAATAATGTCAAACACATTTTTGCGAAAACTCGATGACTCAGCTTCAGATATTGTCCTTGTGTAGGACTCCGCTCCATATACCATGTCAAGTAGGATGAAGAATTTGTAGAATTTGGTGTTTTGTCTCTTCGAGAGGCAAAAAATTAGTTCCTGTAATTCTGCGTTGAATTTCCAGGCAGACATTGTTCTTTGTATCAAGAAGTTATGTGGGTTTACAGCTTCGAAAAATTCGATTTTGTCGATTAGATCAAAAGTTTCGGAAATACAGCCTAGAAAGGAGTGTGCTCAAACGCTTTAAACTTTAAAAGCTTTTTCTCCAGAGTGTGTTTTTAAAGTGAGTTGTCAAAAGTTCTCGAAAACTACTCAACCGATCTGGATGAACGGCTAGTTTCTGCTTTCTCTAGACTGCATAGAACCACAAAAGCAAACCAATCAAACAGTCGAAGATTTATCGTATTGGCTTCCACGTCACTGTTGACAGTCACAAGTTTTCATTCAAACCTGGATCAAACGGTAAAGCGTTTAGCGAAGAATTTATCTCAACAGTTTTGTTGATATAACCATTTTTTAAGCCAGTTTCCATATCTTTAATGATAGAAGGTCAATAGTTGTTTACGTTCCGTATAAGTTTCTTGTTACGGACCTCCATTTTCCAACTTTCTACAACGCCAACCCTCAACTATAGAGTGGAAGGTTCACTTAAAGATATCCGCTTAACGATATTCCCCTTAAAAAAATCTGCAAATCTCCAATTGAATGCCGTTTGTAGTTTATTAGGCTTTTCAGTTGTTTATTTAAATCTTTTATTTTAAAACAAAAGCGGCGTTTTTGTCTTCTCAGCGTTTTAATTTCTGAAAAATTTCCGAAAATATTTATTTGATACTGTACATATGTATAATCTCCTTTAAACTGCTTTGTTGGGTTCTTACATCACTTTTTCCTAAGCGATTATCATTTTTCAACCGCTCCTTTAATAAGGTTTGGACATCTCATTCCACCTCACAAAAAGTGGAATACCAAACAAACCGTTTTTTTAGATTATAAACACTTAGGAAGAAGAGAACACAGTGTGCTTCCCTTTCCGCCGTAATTGAGAGAGTAGCCCATAGTAGTTAAATTTCTCTTTCGCTCATTAAATTTTTGCCACTTTTAAGGCGCGTTCACATAGAACTTTTGCGTTAGCTTTCATTAATAGGTGAGTAATATATTATTTTACATATTGTTAAAAAATAAAGTAATTCAAAGGAAGTTTAATTTATAATTAAACAGCTTTAAAAATTATTTAACGAACGAGAAACTGAAAAACTAAATATAATAATTTTTTTTATTTATCCTTAATAAATAAATATAAGTATACCTTAATAATGTTCAGTCGACGCTTAATAACCATTAAACAAAGTTCACTAAAATACAGCGATTCTTAGAAGTAGTAGGCCCAATCGATCTACGAAGTAAGAAATTATGCGGGATTATAGGCTCAAATGTATTATTCATCGCTCCTTTTCTATCCCCCTGGTTAAAATTTTCTCCTCTAATTTCTTCGGGCACCAACTTCAAACAAAAAACAAGAAAAAAAGCTACCTTCGGTCATGACGAAGTCTTTATAACTTTTATGACCATGATAAATTTACATGCGTCTTTTAAATGTTAATTATCCTATCATTGATTTTCTGTGTCAATTTTTGCATTATACGCGCATGTGTGAACCAAGTTGGGTTTAAATAGATATCTCAAAAATTGACATGACTAAATCAACTGAACTCGTCATTTTGACCCGATCGGTATAAATTTTAATAGGTCTATCTCTATTCCACCTCTATTCTTTCTGGTGTCTAACTAACATCCAAAAAGTTATAGGAAATTAATTTAAATAAAAAATTAAGCTTCTCATAAAAAAACATCAGCTCCATTCGTCCATTTATTAAAAAAAGATCAAAACGCAAAACCACAAATTGGAGGAGAAGCTCTTCCGAAAATCGCTTCCGGGGTTACAAAGCGCCAATTCTCTCTGTTGTTTGCATAGTTTGGACCAAAGTTATTTTACCATTTCATGTAAATGAAATAATCAAAATCGGACCACTGCAAAAAGCTATGCGTCACACCTAAAAAAAATTATGTCTTTCTTTCGCCGATTAAAAGAAAAAAGTTAAATTAAATAAATAAATACACGATAATAAATAAAATTTAGCACTTTTTGTTATATTGTAGTAAAAAAATGATAACTCATTGTGACAAGCAATCTTTTCAGGACGTTCTATTTACCAAACACCAACGCTGACGTAAAAACTCTCTATGTGAACTCTCATTTATGTTTTCATTGTGTAGGATTCTCACGATGGAGGCGGTGGTGTGCGCATGAGTGTTAAACGCGAGAGAAAAACAAATGCAAAATAACACTCACAAATTGAGTGCTGTTCCGTCAATTCCGTTTCCGTTTGGAACGGTCTTGGTGGTGCTTGGAGCTTGTAAATCGCAGGTGTACACTTAGTTGAATTTCTGTTTTGGCGAAGAGCAAATGTAATAAATAGTAAATTTAAAAAAAAAATAACAAAAATAGCTGATAAGTGTTGTTGAAAATTTTTAAATAACTGAAGTTTTATTAATTTTAGTTTTAACTGTTTTTTATAAATTTTTTTTTGTGTGCTAAGGCTTAAACACGATTTGTAAAAAAATGATATTACTGGATAGTTGAAAATAAGGATTCAAAATAATCGATGGTAAATAATGGAGAATTTTTCATGACATTTTTTTTTTTTTGGACTTGAATATTTATTCAGAGTTTGTTTAGTGTAAAAAGTATTTGGCATTTTTTTAGAAAACAGAAATGCACTTTTATTTCATAAGATATTTGAAAAAAAAATAAATAAATAGTAAACAGGGAAATATTATAAATGCACTTTTTTGTAGATATATACAACATGTTTATGTATGTATATATATACACATTGTATATATGCATATATTTACATTTTTATGTATGCATAAAATCTATATGTGGTGGTTTAGTTTAATGCCACGAGCTTTCCTGTAGGTTTGAAGGTATGTTCAGTGATGTTAATGTGCCCCCACACCATCTTTCGATTCAACTAATCCATATTCCTTCCACTGTATAACTATTTATCCTGTGTATTGATTACCTATTTGTATATAATTTGTATGTAGTTGAAGACAAGTTTTCATTTCCCATTTAAAATGTTTAATCACTGCAGTCCTTCAATTCCAACTTTCTAAATGTTCTTTCATTAACCGTTATCACGTTATTGGTAAAGCATTCAGCGTCCCGAACTAATTTGTATTGCAATTTATAGTATTTTATATTCTCTTAATGGATTTTTACTGTTAACTTGGCATGATGCCAAAACACATCAACCTTGCAGGAGTAAAACTAAGGCATACGCTATATAAATGGTGTTCTTTTAGGCATGTGGTTTTCAAAACGAATTAAAATGCATTTATTCATACATATATATGTTATGACCAAGAATTTATTCTCTTATATAAATATCAGGGTTTGAAAGTTTTATCAATGATTTCGGGTAAGTGACCGCTGAGGCTGACTCACATAAATTTCGTAGGGTCCAACTTTCAACCAGTTTCAGCAACAATTCTCTTCCAAGCCGCTAATCATCTCGAACTTATGTG